CATTGTCCAAGTATTGATTCAAAGTATCTCGAGACTATATTATACAGATTAGTCATATATCAAGGAAATACAACAATACTTGTGGTAAATGACTGATTCATCCTTCCTATTTCTATTGATGAGTTCATCCATATTTGATACATGTCACATAACAAAAATGATCCTATTTTCACAATAACAAAAGCTCTTTCGATCAATAATAATATGATTTATCAACTTGTAGCTATCTTAAACCTCATTAATATGGAACAATAGTAGTAAGAAAATGGCACTATTTGCGTGAAATCTGGTGGCAGCTTTCTTTATATGCTATTTTGCACAATGACAACAATTGCGATCCTTTGTCCTTTGATGTAATCGACCAACCGATTCTGAGTCCTCGACTATCGTTCCTAGGCTGTTTGGTCGACAATCATCGGTCAGGAACCAGGTTTCGTGCTTTCTTAGACCAATTCCTTTCTACTATCAACCTAGTGCTCGTTTCTATTTTTGTGTTTGTTGCGTCAGTTATACTTGGATGCAAGAAAGTAGTAGACATACCTAGCTAAGGTGAATTATTGTTATTTCTCTCGTATTTACATGTTTGTTTGCCTATTTGTAATAACCGAAAGCCAATATGTGTACATTGTCATCACTAATCCATCTATTGTTGTCCATGCAAGTCATAAGTGTCTTTGGTAAAGAGAGAACATGCATTATTCCATTCTCATACAAGATTCACCTATCAATGGTTCATTCGATTGGATCAATCCTTACAAGTTCAGAAATCCATTTATCACTTCCATGACTGTTCTATTCAAACCCAATCAAGTCATGTTCAATATTGTGGGCTCAACCAATGTGGTGACAAACATCAATGGTGAAGAGGCAACGATCTCGCCTGGTTATTATACACTGAGTGAAATCATTGCCATTCTGAACACCATGATTAATACTACATTCTCAATTTCCACAATGGCTACAAGTTATGAGTGTATTTGGATCCAGTCTCCATACTCTATCGATTTCACGAGGTACATATGATATCAAAACGATCATTGCAATGTTGAATGTGAGTGATGTTCTATTTGAAATAGTGTATAGTGGAGAAAAGGCATTTCGAGTCTATTACCAGTTTGTGATTCTTCCTCTGACACAACTTATTCATTCCATGAATAAAGCGATTCATTTATCGAGGTGTGTGGGGAACATAAATAAGATCAAGGAACTACGGAAACCAGCAAAACGAAGAGGTGAAACTCGAGTGATCATCAGTGGATTCAAGAGAAACATATACTTCATCGATCTCATCGATTTCTCTTCCAAACAACACAAATCGATACAAGGAGTATTAGGAAGACAAAAGAGTACAGGATTCTACAAGAATCGTGGATACAAATATGTCCTTGTATGTATTGATGGATATTCGAAATACCTGATGACTCGGAAACTGAAAAGCAAGAGTGCTACAGAAGTCACTCATGCGATGAAGGATATCATTCAGACATATGGTGAATCACCAAAGCATATTTTCTCGGATCGAGGCACCGAATTCACCAATGCCATCTTTCGTACCAATATCTTGAACAAGTATGACATCACCATGTATCACATGGATTCAGCGAATAAGGCAGTACTAGCTGAACGAACAATTCGAGATATCAAGGAGACACATCATGGTTCCATTCAATCAATCGAAAGGTGTATGGTTTGATTTGATCGATGGTGCAGTTCGTAGACATAATGGAAGGAAGAACAGAGACATCGGATATACACCCAATGACATTTGGCTTAACAACAACAACAACGATATCTTGTACATGGAGAAAACAGAACCATCCAATATGACAGCAAAGGACACAACACTGCAATTCGATGTTGGTGATTATGTTGGAGTGACACGAAGACCTCGTATTCTGGAAAAGCGATCATTGACGAGCAAATGGTCTCAGGACTTGGTTGAAGTTGTTGATATTGACGATCACATCATGCCATTGATGTACGAAGTGAAGAATGTGGAAAGCGATAGCACACAGAAGTGTTATCATTGAGAACTCCTGGCAAGCAAATGGAAACCACAACCAGCACCGCCTGTCACTCGATCCAAGAGTCGAAAGGAACCCAAATGCATTGAGAGAGGCAGCAAAATCACATCGACCCATTACGAGCACCCAGAAGAAGAAGAAGAAGAAGAAGAAGAAGAAGAAGAAACAACAACAACCTCGCTCAAGTGTTTGAAAACGATCGTGATGCTCTTCACACCTCCCAGACATACGAGAGAAGGGATATTCGTGAATACAGAGATCATATGACTCTCACTTGTCCAATCTATGCTATTTATCAGTTTGGTATGGGAAAGGGTCACAAGATTGTTGAACATATCGATGAATGGTACATCGATCAATCACACACCATCCATTGAAACACTCACCTTGTATCCCTTACCCACAATCGATTCGATGGAATCACAATGTTTGAATAGGGCATCATTCTCATTGTAACATGGAATCGATGTGATCGTCAGATATAAAGCAGAAGGTAATTCGAATTAGCATTGATTATTGAATGGTTGAGTGGATGTGAGTGTATGTTCAAACAATGTGGCATTATTGACTTTCACAAAACACCCAGAAGGTATAGTCCATGAATATTGATGAACGCCATCCACTGTCTCACACACGAGGACATGTTTGCCGTCATTCTCGGGCATATTGATGAGCATGTTATCGAGCTTCCTGAACGTGTAATTGTTTGGATTGCTACTGAATATGTACGACATTGATTCATTCAAATTACTTTGGTTGATTTCGTTCATAGGATTTGACATATACACTCCTCAAACAAGCTTCATTCATATTCGAATATGTGAACATGTTGAATGAGAAACGAGCCAAATCCAAGACTATTGCGGAGAAGAACCTATACAAGTTATTGGCAAACTTAACCTATGGCAAATTCGTGGAGACTGGATTGAAACGAATGTAATTGAAGTTCGCCACCACTTGGAATGAATGTGAGGCTATCATTAAGAAGCATGGGCACGATATGACCGCAGAAAGCGCCATGTATTCCGAGAATCTGAATGGTATCAATTGGAATTATGAGGTGAAAAAAGTGGTGAAACCATTCCTCATAAGATTTGCCATCCTCGACATGTCCAAACACAACATCTAAAATTTCTACTACAATGTGCTCAAGATCACATTCGATAACGTAGAGCTGTTGGTACAAGACGCAGGCTCGTTCATCGTGCAGTTGAAGGTTCGAGGAAACAACATTCACAAGATGTGCGGCATGTACAAGTCGTTCGATTTCTCGGAGTTGGATAACACGAGCTATTTCTATTGACAACTCGTGAACTATTACGAACAGATAGTGGACAAGAGAAAGTTCCCTTCATTGTCATCATTTCTCAACATCAACAAGAAACTAGAGGAACCCATTTTGAAGGATGAATACAATGTCCATCGTATCAAGGAGTTTGTGGGACTCAGATCGAAGATATATTGTCTGGTGGATGAGAAGCAAGTGATACACAATGTAGTAAAGGGTGTTTCTTGTAATGTGGCAATCGATGGTGAGAAAATGCGTGTGAAGAACACCGATTTGTACAAGCGTGTACTTGAGGCAGAGAGGAAGGGAGATGCAGGGAGCGAAAATACATTCAAACCCATCAACAACCAATCATTCACAAATACCATCATAGAGCTTACCGAAACACTCAAAACGTGCACAGGCTACAAAAGATGGATCTTAGACTGCAATGTGCATACACTAAAAATCGTGCATTATCGTTTGTCTGACATGAAAAACGAGTTGTCTTTCCTTTGATAGGAACAATACAATCCTAGAAGTGATGAAGGGGTTCCGATACTTGAAGAGTTGATCCACGAATACGTACCATTACTAAGTGAGCCATGGATGAGCAAACAATAGTACATGGCTTACCTCACCTTACGATAGACAGTAAAGGCAAGCTTAATATAAAATAGTCAACATTTCACACCAAATTTCCAATAATGAACAAAAAACTAGTTGTCCAAGGTCAGCAACAGCGAGAGAAACTAAACAAATAATTAGGGTCAACTTTAAGCTGTAGTCTCGCAACTGACGGAGTCTGAGAAATATCTCTAACCACAAATCACCGTTAATAAACCAATATCATTAACACACTATCAACATCCATTAAAACTGACAAATTACTCACTCGTTCACGCATTCATTCAGTGAATTGATTTGTTGTTAAAAGAAGGAAAGAATAGAAATGAAAAGAAATAAGTGTAATAGAAATGGAGTGTGAGTGAGTGAATGATGATAAGAATGTGATGTTTAAATAGGTAATTGAATAATAATAAAATGAGAACGGCCATATCTGATGGAAAGCGCCCTAACCCGTCCGATCTAGGAAGCTAAGTCATCACGAGTCGAGTTAGTACCAGTGTGGGTGACTCGCTGAGAAGTCTCGATGCTGTTCTTTTACTCCAATATTTTATTTCATTCCATACATTTATTTATCCATTCTTACTATTATTATTAAACCAAACCATTCACTCATTCATTCATTCACTCATACACTCACGAGCTCACGAGCTCACTAAATAGTTCTCCCACAGTATTCTTATACTTTGATTAATAGCGTATGATGCTTGTGTTTCATTTTTAACCATGATAGGATAACTTTTCCAAGTATATACTTAGAATCTACAATGGTACACACAAGCAGTAGACTGCCTTTCTGAGGCAATTAGGCCATAATAGTTGTTAGCACTTAACATAATTCACCTGCATGACAGAAACAACAAAATTAACTATTACCACTTTCACTTTCCTTAATAAGCGAATGATATCAATGAAACACGCAATCAATACATTACAAACGAAGTAAATATTCCACTATAATAATATCCTATACCAGAGGCAACCACTAAGTAACAAGGTATGATTTCATTCCACTTTTACAAAAACAATTACCACCATTCCCTCTCAACCTTTCTCGACTTGAGAAATAAAACAAACAAAAGAATATCACAAGCCTGTACAAAATCCCAATAATTGTAGCTTTTTAGAAGAATCCATAGCTAAACCCAAATGTTGTAAGACCCGAGATCAGAGTAACCGCAGCATACATGATATAGGTGGGAATGTTCAAGTTGAGGCGAGGAGCAATACCGAAGGCAAGCAGCACAACCATTCCTTCAAAGAGCAGGTTCGAAATGAACATAGCATAGGCAGCAGCCTCATTCTGTCCAGCCTTCTCATCCATGTTCTCACTGTACTTTCTCCTATCCATCAACATCACTGCCCACCTCTACTTTCTCTCCATAACGTTTCCGAACTCTTCGTTGGTAAGCTTCTCATAGCTCAAGGCGAGGAGAACCAAGCACACCAAACTCACAGCAATGAACACAGGGTAATTCTAGCCCTAAGAAGCCAATATAGAGTATACGGATAATTCCACGCTGAAGAACTTGCTGTAGAACAGGTACAGAGGGAAAGCAGTGGCGATCAGAGCGACAGAATAGAAACACACTCCTAAAGCATTAACGAGAACGCAGAAACAAACTGTGACCAAAGGTAAGCCCTTTGGGCATCACGCTCTTAATAACGTCATCAAAGTTTTCAGAGCTATCCAAATTAGGGAATAGAGGAAAATCGCCTACGTAGTGGTGGATGCTTTCATAATCTCTTACAATCGGTGAGAAATCAACGAAATAATAGAAATGCGTCTATCAAAATGAGGTAGCCCATATTGTGTAACTTAGGGGACCATTTTGCTCAAATATGCTTCTATTTAGTATAGTATTTCAAACAAGAATTATATTATTGGGACATTGCATAATACTATTATAGTATTCATTTCGCAAGCCATGGAGAACGATCAGTGGGTCTATATGGAAGAAGAATGCATCGTTGTTGACGACCACGATAATCAAATTGGAGAAGGTTCAAAGAAGGATTGTATTTTTGCTATTCTATCATGATCTAGGTCATCTTCGAAATAAAATTGATGGCTCGACCATTCAGCATCGTGCTTTTAGTGTTTTTTTATTTGATTCTCAAAATCGCTTACTCCTGCAAAGACGGTCAGCGGAAAAGATTACATTTCCTCTGTACTGGGCAAATACCTGCTGCAGCCATCCTCTGAATTGTGCAGCTGAAAGGGAAGTGGAAAATGATATTGGAGTCAAGAGGTATGAACCAGTGTAATGGTAGTATCTAGGGCTGCTATTCGGAAGCTGAACCATGAACTTGGAATATCTGAAAGTACATGGTCAACTGATGACTTTGTAAACGTTTTAAATGCACACTACAGTGCTCCCAGTGATGACACATGGGGAGAAAATGAAATCGATCATGTGTTAGTTGCTAAAAAGGATGTCCAGTTGAATCTCAACCCTAGCGAAGTGTGTGAAGTTAAATACATGACTTATGATGAGATTTGTCACGTTAGTTCTTATTTTCTTGTGTGATATGTAGTTTATAGATTCTGCCAACGACCAAGATCAAAAGATCAGTCCTTGGTTTAAGAAGATCTTTCTCTATTATGGAAAAGATTTGTTCCATCATGTGGATACCATTCACACAGTTTGTAAAAAAGGAATTGTTTCTCTGTAATGAACTTGAATCGTCTCTTTTTGTTGTTTAAGCAAACAGCATGATCTCTTCTTCCTCTATATTTCCCATAGAACAAACAACCCCATTTCCTATCCGTCCATCCCCTTCATGCATTCTTTTCGATATCTCCCAGCTCGACCAATGCGTACCACGCAGCCTTTCCTTGCGCAGATCGCTGACTCTTCCCCTTCCCCTCTCCCATCATCTTCCCATCCACCTTCACTTTCGCATGGAAACGGAAATAGGGCGGCTTTTCCTCCTGCTCTTTCACTTCCTGCTCGTACTCTTCGTAGGGAATTTCTCGGTTCTCAAACTCGTAATCGAGCTGATGCTTCTGGCAATAAATATGAAGAGCGTGCTTCAGTTGGAACCGATTGATCCGATACTCGCTAATACTCTCCAGTTCTTTCACAGAATGGATGCTGTGATAGTCGAACGAATGTCCCGTCTCATCCTCCACCTTCTTCTTTCGAAGGGGAATGCATCGCTCAAACGTCGTCTTCCAGTCATTTGTCTCCTTAAAAGCAATAATCATCTCCACGATAGTGTTGATATTCATCACTACGATTCATCTCCTTCTCGCTAATCATCACCTCGATGCTGACACTCGGGATAAAACTCCGCCAGAGGCAGCCGCACCGAAGGAACGCCCAGCTCCTTCGCTCGATCATACGATTGATTCTATCCATCACACGCTTGGCTTTCTGCTCACCTTCGCAATCGAACGGTCGACCAGACCGCCGATCACATACACTTTGGAAGGGTCGATCGTGGAAATCGGATCCGGTGCGTCGGGGGAGAAGTAAACCATTTCATCCGCTGAAAACACGTCTTTTCTGTTGGTCATCTCGAGAAAAACGAACTACAAGTCTTCTTTATGGAACGTCATCGGCCATTTGTCGCCACCCGTTGCTTTGATAGGCGGAGTCGTTTCAGGAGTCTGCGTCTCATTTCGATCCTTCGACTTACTGCTCCACACACATGAATCGACACAGGTTCCTTCGCTTCCTTGTTGGCTTTATGGCATAATCCGAGTTGACGCACCACGCTGAACTGCTCCTAGTCGTAAAGAGTCAGATCAAAAGCAACTTTGGTGTTCATTTGGTCTTGATAGTGTATATCTATAGCAACTCGCTGTCCTGTAGTCATTGCCTCCACCAGCTTTGCCTTCTTTTGTAAACCTAGCCATAAAAACTCAACAAATAAAAACCTACCCTCCGCCTTTTGCTTTTCCATCCATTCCCTTCGCTCTTCCTCTGTCATTCCCTCACATTCCTTGTCCCGTCGTTGTGCGAACGCTCTTCGCTTTCGTTTTCTGTAAACTCAAAGCAACAATCGCTGGCTCTACATGCTTTCTCTTGTGCGCTCCTTTGTCTTCATTTTTATATATTCAAATCTACAGTTTACAACGTCCATTGCACACACTTTTGAGCTCTCTTTTGCTCTGCAAGTTCCTTCTTTCTACGCTTCTTTTCATCAATTTCCACTGCTTCCGGAGGGTTTTCCATTCCTTTTTATTATTCCAAAAATCGAGCGAATTTGCAAAATGTACAGTGATCATTGATATTATAATTTCGCGAAATCATCATGTTCCCCGTTTTCCTGCGCTGAGTCCATTCCAATCAAAGGAAATAACCAGATTTGCAACCAAAACATTCCTTTTGTTGAAAAATGGTGAAGTACAGGTAAGTGGATTCACGCCTATGCAATACTTTAGTGGTTGCTTTGTTGTGGCTGTGTTTTCTTGTTTTTGATTGCGTTTGTTTCGATTCTAACCTGTTTTTGTAGTATGACTCCTGCTGACACTAAGAAGAGTTTTTCGCGTTGTAATGCTGCTTATGTGTAGGCTGCCAAGCCCGCGGTTCTTACTTGACTGTGCACTTCAAGAACGCTCACGAGGTGGGTGCTGCCATCAAGAACATGTCTCTGCTCAAGGCCGAGAAGTACCTTAACGACGTGATTGCCCACAAGCAGGCTGTTGCGTTCACCCGCTTCAACGGCGGTGTTGGTCGTCACGCCCAGGCTCACTCCATCAAGGCTCCTGGAGATCAGTGCAGATGGCCCAAGGCTGCCTGCAAGTTCTTCCTGGTGCTTCTGAACAACCTGAAGGCCAACGGTGAGGCGAAGGGTCTGAACGTGGAGAACCTTCGTATCAGCCATGTGCAGGTGAACCAGGCTCCCGTGATGCGTCGTCGCACCTACCGCGCTCACGGACGTGTGTGCCGTAGGCAGTTGGTTTGATTGGTAATGTGCAGCCTATCTCCGCCACCCTGCTCACATTGAGATGATGTGCACCGAGGAGGATTCTGCGGTGAAGAAGGCTACTTCGGTAAGTATGGAGGCGTAGTGTCATGGTGTAGAAGCCCACGCACAAGCGTCTCACTCGCAGACAGCTGGCGTACAGAAAGCTCGTTCACCAGAAGCTTGCTGAGAAGAAGAAGGAGGAGGAGCAAAAAGCCTAAATGCAGTAGAGGATTTGGTTGCTTTGATGGTTTTGTTTCATACAAATTTGCGTTTTTGTACATTCTTATTCAAGGTCAGTATGAGTGATAAGACGAAAACGATTCTGCAAGTGGGAGGAGCTCTGTTTGCTACGGCACTCTTAGGATATGGAGTGAAGCACTGTTTTGAGAATTCCAAGAAAAAGGAAAAGTGCGAGCGCTATTTTGTCGGCATTGACCTCGGAGCTACAAATGCAAAAGCAGGAGTGGTGAATGATGAGGGAGAGCTTCTTGCCACCGCTTCTCAGCCTCTTACGGATTATACGGATAAGGGAGTCGTCAGTTCGCTTGTTGAGGTTGCTGCTAAGGCTGTTACCGAAGCAGGACTTAAGTGGAGCGACATTAGTGAGATTGGAGTTGGTTCTCCTGGTACTATCGACTTTGATGTAATCTTGTGTAATATTTTGCCATTTAGAATGGAGTTGTGATCAAGGCTTCGAATTTCCCAACGTGGGATCACGTTCCTCTTGCCAACCTTATCACAGAGGCTACGGGAGTGGCTGTACAACTGATTGATAACCCTAAGTTCTAGGCGGTGCTTGACAACGACGCGAATGCCGCCTGTGCCGCCGAATGCTGGATCGGCGCTGGAAAGGGAAAGAGCAACATGGTGATGATTAGTATCCACACTTCTTCTTCTTCTTTTAATAACCTTTAGCTCTTGGCTCTGGAATCGGCGCTGGCGTCGTGGTGAATGGCCGTGTAATTCACGGAGGAAGCGGCTGGGCAGGCGAGCCAGGCCACGCCGTATGGAGTAATAGATTGCCTGATGAGTGTGTAGATTTACAAGGTCAATGGAACGCCTTGCGGATGCGGCCAGAAGGGCTGCTTCGAGAAGTACGCTTCTGCGAATGGACTGGTTCTGGTGACGCAGGACTATCTGCAGGAGCATCCCGACGCGGAAACCTCCTTGCGAGCCGTCGAGAAGCTCACTGCCAAAGCGATTATGGACGCTGCGAAGGCCGGCGACGCGGTAGCGACTGCCTGCGTGGACATCGCGGCCGAAGCCTTGGGAGTGTGCTGCGTGAATCTGTGCCGTGTGCTGGACCCGGAGCTGATCGTCTTCTCGGGAGGCCTGGCGTTGGCCGGCGACTTCCTCCTCGATAAGATCAAAGAGCGGTTCCGCCACTTCCACTGGACGATCCAGGAACCGTCGTGCGAGCTGGCGATCTCGGAGAGCGGCGAGAAGGCAGGAATGATCGGAGCGGCGGCGGTGGCTCGAATGGATTACATGAAGTGGAGTGATTGTTGGAACAAACAAAGGACCACTAGGACCGAGCGAGGAGCATGCAGACGGGAATTACGAAGGAATGAGCAACACACAGAATCGCTGCGATCGTCTTGTTCTTCTCCTAGATGTGAAGAGGCCAGGGAATCGATACGCTGTAGAAATAGAAGATGTTTAGGAAATTCACGTAGAGCAGGGCTGCGCTGGTAAGCACAAATCCGAAAAATGTGGGGTCGAAATTGGAAAGGATAAAGACTATAACCGACACCAGACGAACCACCTCATAGAGAAGGAGAAGGTATCCAGAGTAAGATATCGAAATCACCACACTCAGAGAATCGGCCACATACATTGTACCAATCCACAATACCGATGCTGAAACCAGGAGAGTTAGAATATATGAGAACGCAAAACGGAAGCAATAGTTGAAGAATACATGCACACGGTCATCCTTTAAAGCAGTAATCCATCCATGGACAATAATGCACACAAACATTGTCCAGAACGCAACATATCTACACATTACTTTATAGGAAACAAGGAGCGCACAAATCGGGCTTTTTCATAATAGCACTCAGGAGCTCATTCTTCTTGACAAATAGATTTCGGGGATTAATTCTATCCACGATCTCCTTTGTATCGAAGTCAAAATACTAAAAAACAGGTTATCACACAAGTCCTACCTTCTGGATACCTGTAATGCTGAGCACACTCCATCCACCAGACGAAGCAGAGGAAGCAGGTGCAGCCGATGGCTCTGCAGTTTCCATGGTTGCTGGAACAGGAACAACTCCCACTTCTACGTCAGCTTCAGAGATGACAGTCTCAAATTCTGGCTCGTTTGACATTTGGTGTTTTGAAGGAGTCTAATAAGTGTGCTATATATATTTAATATATATAAAATAAAGGAAGAAAAAACGACAACTGCAGGATTCGAACCTGCGCGGGCAAAGCCCAACAGATTTCTAGTCTGTCTCCTTAACCACTCGGACAAGTTGTCTTGTTACAACCTTCTCACAATTCACATTTCTAACAAACAAGGGTACAACTTCAAATTCTTTAGGAATTTTGCAAAACCCGATTTCTCTATTCCATTACTCACACACTACCAACGGAGCTACTTTTCTTTTTCTTCTCTTCATCTTCGTCTTCACCTACTACCAACCTTCCTCGATCAGCCTGCGGGATCGACTCTGGCACACGGAAGAACTCCAGATTCAGATACTCAGCGTATTCCACGCCCGGCGTTGCTCCCTATCCATTCACTCTCCGATCTCGCTCCTACCTCCCACGCCAAGTACACCAGCGCCGTCGGTACCATTTTAAGACTTCGCAGCGTGGCGTTCGGGTCCAATCTACATCACACTGCCTGGACAGCAGTACCGTTCTTTAGGCGGTGTTCGGAAGAGATAAAACGGCAAGCTCTCCGCTCTGCCGATGAGAACCATGCGGACGACCCCCATGACATCGGCGATGGTTTCCCTGGGCGCAAAGTACGCCTGGATCACCGTGGAGTCTGGGAGGTGCACCCGCACCGTAGTTCTCCTGTACATGCGCTGTCGCTGGAGCGCCTCGAGCTCCCTCTGTGCGCGCGTTTTGAGCTGCGCGTTGCTCTCCGCCGCTCGCTTTTTGCGCTCCAAAACCTCCGAAATCAGCCGCGAATCCTCCATCGAATCGGACGCACTCGCGCTGCTGGGCGGACTGGAGGCGTTGGAAGGGTTGGCCGCGGAGTACGCGCCATCGGACAAATGCATCATCTTGGACTCCACGTCCGCCCCGAAATTGCGCGGATTCACTCCGTTCTCACTGCGGAACACCAGCAAGCCGCGCTCCGGAACCTCGCTCTCGAACTGCTCCATCCGCGTCTCCAGCTCCCTCACGCGCATCTCCGTCGTCTTCGCCCCCTCCGTCCGCTTCATTGTCGTCAGTAGCATCGGCTTCGTCGGGTCGAACGCCTCGCTCGGAGCCTCCGCAGGTTCCGCAGGCCCAGCAGGCTGCGTAGGCGGGGGATTGGCGGGAGGAGTCGGCGTGGGGTCGGCGGGGAGGACGTCGAGAACGCGTTGGAGCAGATCGACGTCGAGGAGCGCGTCGGAAAGGACGAGGCGCGGACCTTTCTCGGTGGCGGCGGCGCGGAAACCGAGCTGCGCGAAGATCTCGACGACGGGCCCGAGCGGGGCGCAGCGCTTCTGGAAGGAATCGCTGGCGGGGTTGAGCGTGCGGAGCGTGGGGGAGGAGGGGTCGCGGATCTGATGAGAGAAGGAGGAGGAGGAGGAAGGCTACGATGTTGCGGAGGATGCGGGAGAGAAGGGAGAAGGCGGGATGAAGCGACGACGCGGAGTACTGCGAGTGCAGCAGCGCGAGCTCGGTGTGGATTCGCTCTAAACGGCTCTCCGGAGTCGAGGCCATCAGGGAGACCAAGTCCTGGCTGGGAAAAACCGAGGAGGAGGAGGAGGAAAGAGATTCGCTGGGAGGAGATTGCTCGTTTTCCATTTCCATGCTTTCTTTCACTTCCATTCCTTGTTCTTTGTTATTGTCATTGTCATTGTTATTGTTATTGTCATTGTCATTGGGATTAACAGTTTTAATCGAATTTAAAACCGAAATCGCAGGAACACTCGCATTAGAGCACTCATTGACAACTCCATTCAATGCGTTTTCCTCCTCACCTCCTCCAACATTCTCACTTTCACTCTCGACTTTTACTCGATTCAAATTCAAATTCAAAAGAGGAAGAAGCGGAGGCAGCGAGGAGGCCACCAATTGAAATCGAAAGATAACGGAAGAGCTGATCCACCCAAAATCTATCAATAAAGCACGCACTTCACAACAAACCAGCTAGACTTCTCTCCAAATCGCTCCCAGAAAAAACCGAGCGAAACTGGACTAAAGCAGGCTGAAAGCCTTGCGGAATTTTTATCATTTCAACATCTATGAAGTTTGCTAATATCGTTTTTAGGGGTGTTAGGCAATTGTACGACTTCTACACTTCAACCACGTTCCCCAAAGGTTACGCTTGACTTTTTGTTGTCATACTGGATTGCCACTCTGCAGAGTTCATTTGACAAAACATTCTGACGCATTTTCAATGTCAGCACACTAGACGACGAAATTAGATAGGAAGAAATGGGATAGGACAAATCCAGTTGTTTTCCATTCAGTTCCAAATAGTACATCGGAAAGTCCTACCCGTCATTGCACTACAACACAGCATACTCTCTTTCCAAACGCAATACAAGCCTTATCCCTGACAGTAATCTACATATCAGCAGCTTCCAACCAATTGTCACCGTTACGCTATCTGATTTAACCAATATATCTCTCCGTTCATCGTTCATACGAATACGGTACTTTGACTCCTGCATGATTGCGATTCGTTGAAAAAAATGAAGATATTGGCCTAGCAAGTTCAAACTTCCAATTGTCTCTAGATAAATAGTATGGAGTCAACAACAACAACAAGTCAGAGCGTATTCCAACAAACACACAAGTCAATGTACTTTTTCAACTTGTTCTTCTCGTTCAACCCAATGTGGATTCTTGACATCAAGCTGCTATTTCGGAACACGAGATGAAGTCCCATCACTACCTAACATCACTTCGAATATAACGTACATAAAATGAACAGAACGTTCAGGCCGATGAAGTGCAGGAAGTAGTTGTGGAACAGCAGAAGAACAAACACACTAAATCCCGTCAGCGCCGCGACAATAACAGAAGGAGTGACTCTGAATTCACCCAGATAGAAGGGTGCAGGAACCCAAATGAAAGGGATGCTAGGCTCTTAGCAAGATTGACATCCACCCACAGCCACAAAAAGACCAGACAAAAATCGACAACAGAGAAGATGGGAGCGGAAAAGCTTGGAATAAAGCGGACAAACCCCCTACCCAGCGATGACCAGCAACAGAACATAAAGAGCCAAATAGTTGGTTCGGAAATAGATAAAATTGTTCTTTACACGGTCCTCCAGCCTCGGTAAGTCGGGCATGTTGAACTTTTCGAAACACTCTGACAAGGGGATCTACAAATCAAATTTTAAATAGACAGAAGCACAAATTTGGCCCAACCCCAGCCATTCACGGTCCTCCAAAGATCCATGATTTCTATGCTTCAGTCGACTCTCCAGCGACTATACTCTTGTCGTAAACACTGCTCGCGCTACCTGCCATAAAGGATTTCATAAAAACGGTTAATTTGCGACTAACCGCGGTTCCATATCCTCTCCAACAAACATTCCAAAAAACGTAAACAAACCCACTTTATGCACTAAAAGGCTCCACATCCACACGCTCATCCTTCGCATTCCTCGACAAGGCCAAAAAGTCTCGGTACGGCGCATCCGGCTTCACCATGTCCAGATCAAACCATTTGAATCTGTACCCCGTTTCCATCTTCCCCACTCCATTATGCGGCACCTTCACGAACAATTTCTGCGTCCACGGACGGTACTCGGGGCTCTCGTGCTTCTGCTGGCACGGCAGTTTCCGCTGCGCGTCCTCTACTCGTCAGTTTCCCCGCGGGAATCCACCCAGCCGCGTCTTCTCCTTTTCCACCGTCTTCCAGTCGGGTCCTTCCGGCCGTCGGATCGCGCACGTGACCGAGTTCCACAGTTTCCTCGATTCGAAGGGGCCTTGCCGCGGGATTTCCAGCACTTTCTTCGGCAGCACGGGGAGTTTCGTCACGTCGAGGAAGAGTTCCTCCTAGAATGCAAACCTCCCCGCGGTAATACGTTCTCCCCCGCGGGACCGGCGAGGTAGAAGGCGGAGTCCCAGTGACCGCGGAGGCGGTGGATGGGTGTGCCGTTGTGGTAGATAACCGCGGTGACGCGGTTGTAGTCGCCGCCGAAGAGCGGTTTTCCATGGAATTCGATGTCGGCCTTGAAGCCGGTCTGCGCGCAGTGGAGAGAAAGCTTGTCGATGAGCTGCATGCGCAGCGTGCCGATGAACAGACCCGTCCCTGCGAACGCGGGGATCATCGTGGAATACTATTCCGTGGGGGGGAGAGAGAGGGACTACGACTTCGCCGAACCGCGGGAAAAAGACCTCGATGTTGCCCAGCATGGAGCCGCAGGCGCTGTTCCCCGTGAAGTGCGACTTGGTCCAGATGTACCCGTTCGCGCAGTAGCCCTGCTTCTGGTTCTCCAGGTAGAACGCGGACACGGGCGGGTGGTGGCTCACCTGCTCGGCCACGTAGCTCACGCGGCTGGCGCCCGTGTCCACGATGCAGGAAAAGGTCTCGCCGATGATGGGGTTGTAGGGCTTCTTGCAACCCTGCACGGTGAGAGGAGGATGGAGAGAGCAGAGAAAAACGTACATGAGTTTTGTAGTGCCAGCTGGAGAGGTACCATTTTAAGATGCACATGAAACGCTTGTATGGATCGTCACCCTGGACTCTACACATGAGATTATGCACAATGATGAAATGAGAGTACTCAGGGGCGTCCAGCAAATCAACGTGCATCAACATATCGCCCAAATGCTCCAACAAAGATCGAGGAGCAAGGAAAAACACAGGAATCAGTACTCGAGTCAAGTCCTGCCCTAACCTTCAGAAGCTGTCTTCTTTTCTACCAGGCTTGAGAGATTTCAAAATGTGCATGAAGAGACTTGGCTGCACGTAGGGCTCACCAGCAATCTCTCCTCCTCGGGTATTCTCGGGATCTACATTCTCACGTAAAACGGACCACTCCTACCCTCCACGGTGTATTTTGTATAGTCAATACCACCAGAAAGGTCAGGGAACGTGGGTTGTTGAACTTGCTCAGCCATGAGTACAAACTAAATTCACGTTGAGAAACGAACTCAGCAACGTCCCATCAATCAAAAGAAAATCATCTTACTTTAAAAACAGATTTTAAAAAAGTGACGTAATAGGCGTTTCAATGTGGAGTTAAGTTGAATCTCGTACAGAAGTTATTAACTCCATCTATATATATATAGAACAAAGTACTTCCACAAATGCACTTCCCAGTTGATCTCGTATACCCACAAAAAAAGTTGATCAAACAAACAAACAAACGTACATAGCAAAGAAATGGACCCCAAACTTCACGTCTCCCATCTTAGTCAATAGACGGAGTTTCACTATAACTGTCTTGAAGACGAACAGCATCTCTTGGTTTTGTACGAGGTGCCGCAAGAGACGCAAAAGCTACAAATAACTCATACAGCACACCATTACTATCCACTCCTGCTTGCTCCATCATCACCTTGTTAATCCGTTTGTTCATAGAGTTACTTAATAGAATCATAGCTCCTTCAATCATGCCTAAGAGAGCAGCTCCACTGACGAAGGACCAAGCAACAGTTTTCACTCCGGATCGTAACACAAGAATACTGGCAGAAAGACCTCCAGCAAGGACAGAGTTCCACATGTCTTCTCGGTGGCGAAGATGACTGAAGAGACAATCAAAAGCAGAATACCAAAAACCCCAAATTGCAAACGCTCCTAGTCACATAAGAGAAAGAAAACAAGAGTAAACCTCCTAGTTTAGGGACACGCGTCTTTACAGAATATAGTATACCTTGCATATGAGAACCACTGGGAGAGTTTCTGAAGCCCTTTAGAGCATACCAACCCGTACCCAGGGTAGTTCCTACAGGTAATCTTGCTAAATCAGTGACTACCAATGATAAAGGTGCTTCCAGTATCATCGATAATGCGGTATGGGCAAGGAGATCTTTGCATATTTATTACGACTTGATTGACTGGTAGTCTGAGACAATCGTGAAACGGAGAAACAGGGAACTCTCCGAAAAAGATGGTAAATCAAAACGTACAAAAAAGTGTTCTAGCAGGAAGGATTTAGCAGTGAGCAATTGAAAATAGGAGAAAAATGTTTGTGACAAACAACAGACAAAGAAGAAGAATCTACAAAAAATGAGCAAACCATGTTGCTCTTTCACTTTTTTGCTTAAGAGAAAGAAAACGAAACAGTGGATGTGAAGGAAAAGATGGTCAAAGTGAAAGGATATGTATTCGTAGCATTTCTGGAGTCATTCCATTCGCTTTGAGAGTCTCTACAATTCTAGAATCACATCTGAACACCAGCCAAACCCGTCACAAATGGCATTTGAAATAAACACTGAGGGACGACCCGTGTACGACTTTCTTTGCAATGCAGCAGAATAAGGATCTGCACCCAGAGCCACATTCACAGCTCCATCCAGATGGAGTGGTACTAAGGAATAGTCAGAGGAGCAAACTCCACACTCCTGTTAAGAAACAAAAACAACCAAAATCAATTGAGTAAATAGGATATAGTATATACCAACTGCTTTCGAATCAAAGAGTGTTGTATCCCAATATTGTGGAAACAGTGAAGCGTGTAAAAATCAATTCCCTCATCAAGGTGGACAAAATCATTCCTTTCATCTGCTACCACGAGAATAGAGATCCCCTCACTTTCTGAAAGTTCACGCTTTAATATTACATGACTATTCCCTTGATTTGATTCCACCATCCACCCTCTATGAAATATCATAGTATGGATCTATTTTACTACAATCTGGAGAGCTTCTGTGCACTTTGTTGTAACATATTCTGGATGCCTTGAATAATCAGGCAGCATAATCAATTGGTACCCTTAATATCTCTATTTAGATGTTTTCCCTTCTTTTGGAGTTTGGAAATTAATGATTTCCCAGTAGTTCCGAAGAATGCTTTTCCAGAACCTAAACCTCCATAAAGCGAAATCATGTAGTGATAACAATTAATAATGATTTTACGAATAAGCAAAAGAGTGCGAACTTATGAGAAAGAATCCATCCCAGTATTATTGGAATTCCAGAATTTTGGGCATTCGGATAGGAAGGCATTATCAATTTCAAATCTATGTATTTCTGTAATACATGTGGCAAGTATGAATAATGCTTGGGTTATAGCACAAAAGGTTGTTCATTTATGCAGAATAATCGATGTTCCTAATGAGGAGCAATAAACAGAATTGATCAAAGTGTATACTCACAACAAAGAATCCAGCAATATTAGCACTCACTACTCTAAATTGATAGTAGAATCAATCGAATCATTCTATGAGGCTTAAGTTTTCATTCAAAAAGAGAACAAAAAAGATAGGAACACTGTCTGCTATAAGTGAAAGCAATTCAATTAGATTTTACATGATACAGATTTTGATTTAACGTTGCGGAATGAATCACGGAGATCAATATTACGAATATTTGGAATATCTAGATATCATCAAATGACCCATTACTTTAAATTACTTTCAAATGTCAATGAACGATGATTCACAAAACTATTGCCTTCAGTATTCATTATAGATGTTAGATTTGGAAGATCTACGTATTAATTCAATTATCTGGAATCATTTCATTCATACTTCGCATTATGAGTGAGCATGATGCATCTTTTTTTCCACGAAGTGCACTGTTTCCTAGTTGAATGGATTGTAATGATGGAAGATCTATAATAATCATTTCATTCACATTCATTCAATACTTTCGATTATTGTTGATAATGATTCTCGGAATACATTGTTTCCTAAAATGATAGATTGTAAATTTGGAAGATCTAGTTATTATCCATGTTTAATAGCGTATCAATACCTCGAATCATAAACGAACTATAGCAAAAATTGCTTGATTTACTTCCAATTGTGCCAATTTGAATCGACTGTAATTGTGGTAGATTCTTCAATTCAAATTCCCCAGCAAAATCACTGAAACTATACTCACCAATTTCAATCGATTCTAATGATTCACAATTCAATATGTGGAATGATTTCGATTCGTTGTAATAGAAGTATTGAGGGTCCCCTTTGACTTGCGTAAATGAGTTTTTACCGATTTTCAGGCGACAAAGTAACTTCAATCCATCGATTTTGAATGTATTCACGTTGCCAAAACTATCATCTCCTATGGAGAGAAATCGTAACATAGCAAATCGAGAGAAATCAAAAACCTTATACCTATAATTATTAAGAATCCAATCAGGAAGTGTTATCGATGAAATAGAATACTTGATCGTATTAATATTAAAACGATACCAAGTTGGTAATAACTGCACAAGAAGCTCTGAACAGTCTATGTTTAAAATCGCACATATAAATACGTGTAGTTTCATATTCCACTACACTGTGGAATGAATTAGGCAAATCAACTATTTCAATAGTAGGCATATCTATTCAAATTATGAATGAATTGCTATATAAATATCTACTTTGAAAAATGACATTACGAACTTCATTGAAACTACATCCTTCAGAATTAATGATGAATGTTAGATTTGGAAGGTCTTTTTTTAACTTTTTTTATTATTTCACGCCTACTTCGCATTTTTAATGAGCAAGTATAATTATTATCTCTTCCATCAATAGCGGCATGTCCTAACTGAATAGATTGCAGTGATGGAAGATCTATAGTAATCATTTCATTTGAAATCATTCAGTACTTTCGATTATTGTTGATAGTGATTCTCGGAATGCATTGTTTCCTAATGTGATGGACTGCAGATTTGGAAGATCTAATAATAATAAAAATATGTTCAATATCAAATTCATACTTTGAAGTCTAAGTGAACTAGAGTAGAAATTACAAGAATCAATTCCAATTTTACCAATTTGAATGGATTGTAATTGTGGCAGATTCTCCAACTTAAAGTCTCCAGCATAATCACTGAAACTATACTGACCTATTTCAATCGATTCCAATGATGAACAGTTTAGTATGTAATATGACTTCGTTTTGACATTTCCATACCAATTCTTTTTCTGAGTAAACGAGTTTTTTCCTATTTTTAGACTTCTTAATTGACTCAATCTGTCGATTCTGAAAGTACTGACTGATCCAAAACAATTATCTCCAATTTCAATGGATTTTACTAGTAAAAATCCATTGAAATTTATTATTGTTTGTTCAGAACTATTACAGCTATTATTCGGAATGATTATTGACTCTATCTGCTTGTCAATATAACGGAGATCGTTTATTAATAGTGGAATTACATTTTTCAATTGAGTACTAACATCTATGAAAATAACCATGTCACACAAAAAATAACTCGATATCGACTTCGACTGAACATTTGAGAATAAATCAGGAAGATCAATGATTTGAATATTTGGAATATCTAAATATCATCAAATGACCCATTACTTCAAATTACTTTCAAATGTCAATGAACGATGATTCACAAAACTATTGCCTTCAGAATTAATTATAGATGTTAGATTTGGAAGATCTACGTATTAATTCAATTATCTGGAATCATTTCACGCCTACTTCGCATTATGAGTGAGCATGATGCATCTTTTTTTCCACGAAGTGCACTGTTTCCTAGTTGAATGGATTGTAATGATGGAAGATCTATAATAATCATTTCATTCGAATTCATTCAATACTTTCGATTATTGTTGATAGGGAACAAGAGAATGCACCATCACCTAATGTAATGGATTGTAAATTTGGAAGATCTAGTTATTATCCATGTTTAATAGCGTATCAATACCTCGAATCATAAACGAACTATAGCAAAAATTGAGCGAATCACTCTCGATTGTACCAATTTGAATCGACTGTAATTGTGGTAGATTCTTCAATTCAAATTCCCCAGCAAAATCACTGAAACTATACTCACCAATTTCAATCGATTCTAATGATTCACAATTCAAAATGTGGACTGATTTCGATGTGTCATTTCCCCAATCATTCTTTTTCTTGGTAAACGAATTGTTTCCGATTTTAATAGTTTTCAATCGATTCAATCCATCGATTTGGAATGTTTGCACGCATCCAAAACAATCATTGTCGATTTCGATAGATTCCACAAGAGTAAACCGCGAGAAATCAAATACTGTATAATTGATATCATTACAAGTCCAGTTGGGAATGTGAATTGAGGATATAGAAGAATCCATTGATTGAATGAAATAGAAATAGTTGACTTCTGGAAAGAGCATTTCAGAAACATCTAGATTCGGAGATGGAACCAAAAAAATACTATATACAACCGCTGTTGTAACATATTTGAATGAATCAGATAGTGTCACATTTTCAAGATTAGGAATATCTACATGGAATCAATATTTATTTTCTTTAACTACCTTCGAGTAATAATGAGCGAGGATGAACAAAGTTGGTTCCTCTTCTATGATTAGTAATTTCTATCAGATTTGGAAGATCTACGTGTTAATTCAATCATTTCGAATCATTTCACGCGTACTTCGCATTGTCAAGGAACATGAATCATCATCTCTTTCTCTTCCAAAAAGTGCATACTTTCCTAGATGAATGGATTTTAATGATGGAAGATCTATAGCAATCATTTTTTACAGATCATCTGATACTCTCAATTATAGTTGATAAGGATTCACAGAACACAAATCTGCCTAAAAAAATAGATTGTAAATTTGGTAGATCTAAACAATTTCAATATGCAATAGCAGATTAATACCTTGTATCACAAAGGAACATCCATAGAAATTATTTGATGTACCTCCTAATGACCCAATTTTGATATCTTGTAAGCGGGGTAGATTTTTCAATTCAAAGTCGCCAGCAAAATCACTGAAACTATATTCACCGATTTGAATGGATTCCAATGATTCACAATTCAATATGTGAAATGACTTTGACTCATCATTGCCATACCAATTCTTGATCTTGGTAAATGAATTGATTCCGATTCTGATAGTTTTCAATCGATTCAATCCATCGATTTTGAAGGTTTTCACGGATCCGAAAGAATCATTCCCGATCACAATAGTTTGCAGCATGTCGAAATGGATTATGATAACTGTATTCAGGCTGTTATAGCTGCTCGATGGTATCGTCAAACCAGTAACCTGCGATCCTTCTTTTCTCAATTCTTCTAATTCATTAATTAGCTCTGTTTCACCTATATTAGTAAGCTGCATAATAATATGTACTTTCAAAATTGTTGTTCATTGTAAATATGAAAAAATGACCATTGAGTATTTGACACATAACTTTCAATTCTGTATTTCTAATCTTTGTTGAAGTTTCAATAGTATCGGATATGAGAGCCTGCATCGAAAGAACGTTCTGTCATTATATCTGAAGAACATTCACTCCATTATCACTGTTGAGAGATCATTCAATATATATTGTATACATATTTTATATAAATCGATCTGGACGTTGGAATGGGTTATCCCATGAAAGTAATTAAAAAGGAATACGTCTTTCATTGTAAGAACAAATTTCAAATGAGCACATCATATCCACCAGGATTGCAAAGAAACTAGAAGTGCAGGTGATTTCATTCACTTGACTGTCTAAAACTATTGGTAATAGTCTTAAATCACTTTTTCTCTATTTGATGTCTCTTACAAATATACGCAAAACTTGATAATTCTTCCTGTACACTACGAGCTCTCCAAGCAAATGAACCCTGGGAAACTATCATAACACTTGTTACAAAATGGGTTCAACCCAATGAGTAGGCGACCCCTTAATTGAAACAAACACTCTCTAATCTGGAAAAAGAACACGACCTTTTGTAGGACTTGGAGATGACTCTGGGTGAAGCAGCTGTTCTGAGAAACTCGTTACTAAGTTTCCTGTTTTAACAAAATCCTAATCCTTATGCATTTCTTAGAGTCAGACAATCATGGTGCGAGAATTTGAAGATGATAACATAGGTTTCAGTGGAGAGGTCAGACTAGCAGTACTAACACTCTTGGAATGGCCTGGAGAAGAGAGAATTTCGCACGAATTCGTATTTTGAATCAGATCGTTGGCTCGTTTCACTAAACGCCGCAACGGGGATTGAGGGGGAGTGACTAAAGCGATCGGCTTAGGTGACGGGAGAGGGGAATTCGCTGGACGCTTTCCAATTTGCATATCCAGCACACTTCCGTTAATGGGAGTTCTCGAAGCTATATCTTATTGCCAAAATACTAATTACGAGAAAACGGAGTACTTCCAATGGATTGCTTCCGTCTTTTTGGGGATTTCACCAAATCAACAATAGTCACCGATGATTCACCTCTGGTTCGTTTTAGCGGCGCCGTTTCTCTTTTAGGAGTGTTACATTCCGTTTCCACAGACACATCCACACTCTTCTCTTTGTTTGAATCTTCTTGGGAGTCGGAAGCGTTCTCGTCTTGTTTACTCGCCTTTGGACTCTCTTCTTCAACCATTGATAAGAGAAACTTTGACAACAAACAAACTACTATATTCCAGAAGTGTATGCCATGGAGCGCTCAGATGACTTCATCTTATTCTTCAACTCGTCCATGCCTTCGAGCTCCAGTCGGTAGATGTCTTCTTCCGACAAATGAATCCACGAATCGATCATAGTGAGCATCTGTCTCTCGGTTTGTCTTATATTAATCGCTGGATCCGATACTACCGATTCATGTAACACTGATTTCGAAAAATAAGGGTTTCACCAAGTTGTTGGAGCCCAAAAAAGTGAAAACTAGTTACTACTCAATCGTTTCGACTACTTAATATGAAGAAGCCAGTATTGGCAGCACATGGTATTGAGAGCTAAGAACTAAAAGCAATGAAAGAAAAGAAAACGTCGATTTCTCCACCAGCCAGGACTAAGAGGAGATCCACTAATGTGCTGGGAAGAGAACTTGCAAATATTCTAAAGATTGGAAATAAAAAGTGTATTTAAAAACCTCATTATCCGGTATGATTTCTGACTTATAAGCATCACATACATCATAATGCTGCACGGTTCTAGACTTCAGCTGCTCTTCCGATAAATTGAAGATGTTCTCAATGGTTCCCTTCACAGTATAAAGAAATCGCATACACTACTCGGTCTTGATTCACGTATTTCATCTCCAAAACGATTTGAAACCTCTTTTTGCTAATACATCCGAATGTGATGATGGCAAAGCGGTACTCCGAGGAAATCCAAGCTTTCTCTTCCAAGAATATCGAGTCTAGGAATGAGATAAATATCGAGATAAAAATGAAATACCGGAAGGAAGTAATTTTACTAACCAGGAAGGTAATTTAGAGGTGATCAAATAACTACATCAAAACTCGCAATATTCAATTACTGCTTAAGCGTGTAAACTCCCTTGTTTCGGGGAATCGAAAACCCATCAATATCGCACACAAGATGACCATCAGTATTGTCATAACTATATAAATACATGAATTATTAAAATACTTCTCTTCAACGAGCCATTCTACTCCTTCGCCACCTCCAGTAGCACTTTCGCAAGCTTTCAAGTTCATATATCGGTAACCAATCATGGGGTTATCCAAACAAAAGGGTAACGGGACACGAAACTCAACTATCATCACTAAATGTAAAAGTGAACCAAAAAGTGCTCATTGTCCAACAAACAAACCATTGATTCTCCGTTCCACTATCGGAAAGTAAGTGGCTCGCAACTCTCTGTTTCCCCATTGTAAAAATGATAATTCCAGTAGTAACGATAATGGTCGCCACAATCTTGCTGTAAGTCAAGCACTGGTTCGGATCCTCCCTAAATCAAACACTCTCCCGACCTCTACGAGCAATAAAGATAGCTGGATACGATGAACACAATGCACGCCCGAATACACTGCAACAACCCCGTCCAAATCGCTCCCAGAATTCCCTGCACCGAATACAGAGCATAGGAGTGCAGCGTATGGGACCCAATATACACAGCAGTGGAGATCAGCACTTCCTAGCTGAGAGAGAAGGCGCAAAAACTACTTGGAGCGTGGCGTGGCGCGCTCGGAGAGGAGAAAAAACGAGTTGCTCGCGATTGGGAACTAGAAGTGAGTGAAAGAAGGGACGCAATCCACTTGTGTCCAACAGAATCACGAGAAGACACAAGAAGGTATTAAGCAGCCCCACGTTCTTGCAGATTTCTTTGCTTCCTTTATTGCCGGGGATTCGCTGTGAGTGAGAGAGAGGATTGAAACACGGACTAAGATCATTTCATTCACGATGTAGCTCAACGCGTAGAATTGGGCTCCTAAGAGAGTTAAGCAAATGCCGATGTAGGGAGAGCCTGTAACAGTGCTTCCCGAGAGAGGAGAGATGCAGAGACCAAAAGTGACAACTAAAATACCGAGCCATTGCATGTTGGAAATGTAGGTTTTCAAAAGAAAATGAGAATAAATCGCACTGAAAATGGCCACCGAACTGAATGCCACTTGGAAAAGACCGCTCCCACAATACACCATTCTATTTTTCAATGAATAGTGTGTGGCAGTTACCCAATTGTTCGAATCACGTATCCTGCAATGTCCAGAAGGGCTGATAACACATAGAGCATTTTCAACTTTTTCATATTTTCTATGTATTATCACCGTCTTTTCCATATTTCATACTCGCTACTTGAATATGCTTATCTACTTCGTTCTCTAATGAACCTGAACTTTCTAAATCGACGACTGTGATAACACCACTACTCATGACTCCTTTCCCATACAAAATACACTTCATCACTGAACTTAATAGGTGTTATGCCAATTAACGCTTGTGCAAAATAGTACGAAAAAATGCTAAACATAGAACGCATATCTAGAGTAAAGCAAGCGTAACAAAGCTACCAGAAGCACCCTGGTACACAAGTTGCTGGGTGCAAAGTGTATCAAGTACACCAGAGAACAAAAACACCACAGGCATCAGAAGTGCGCTCAACATCGATTCACAGAAAAAGCTCAAAAAACTTGAGTGGAAAATGTGAATAAAAGTGGAAAAATGACTATACCGAGGCTCGAACTCGGGATCTCTCGCGTGTCAGGCGAGCGTGTTAGCCACTGCACTATACAGTCCTGAAAACGGAATTGATTTACGAGACTTGAGCATCCTCACGAAAGTTGTCTTGATCTATGTTCTTTACATAATCTTGCAGTATCATGTCCAGTATTATATCGACTTCTATAGAGGATGACCAAAAGAAGAATCGCTCTTTGTGTGGCTGCATACTTTGTTTTGTTTTGTGGCTCTTCCCTTTTTGCCTGGTGATTGGCACAGCTCTTTATTTCTCTCCGAACAGACGAACCAGCGATATCACCGAGTCTTAATCTGTCAGTTCGTTGACTTTGTAGATTCAACAACCGTGCAAACTCCTGGCTCAAGAATGGAAAAGAGCTGTTCGAGGGAAACAACTTTACACTTTACGTAAACGACGACGACTATCCCTTGGAGGAGATTGTTGTAAAACCAGATGGAATTCATCCTGCCGGTGACAAATGTAATCTCGAGGGCGACCCAGATGGTGGCTGTGTTAGTTGCGACGTAGTCTACTTTGAAGTTGAAGTGCCAGTTCCTAAAGGTGAGAGCAAGCTGTCTCTCAAATTGGTTCACGATGCCAATGTTGTGATGAACGACACCATTGCAACTTCTTCGACCCAGGGCACTCTTTCCCGGATTTGCTTCCGAGTTCATGACAACGAGACTACCTTCGTTTTGGATAATCCTCCTGCTTGGTCGCTCTATATGAATGAGGGAGAGATTGGCTGCGAGTTCTCGAACTCCTGGGAGCCGCTGTACTACGAAGCGGGCGAGCATTCCACGCTCAAGTTCCAAGTTCGCTACTACCAGGATCCCTTCATTTCAGCGAGCAGCATTACGCGAGGATGCAGTGAGAGAGATGACGCCTCTAACTGTTTTGGAATTACCAAGAAGGCTATGACGAATTATGGACTGTATATCATCATTGGAGCGGGTGGCGTTACGGCTTTGGAGGTGATCGTTTTATTGATCGTTTGTTGCGTCCGGAAGGGTAATGGTGAAAGCCGTCCTTTGCTGTAAGGAGTTTGTTAGAGGTGAGCATATTTCTACTATAGTGTGTTTGTTTTACATATCTGCAGTCTTGGAAATTGAAAGTGTTTAGCACAAGAGTTTGAAATATTTTAATTTGTTGCAGTTAAATCAATTTTACTTTGAGAGATTTTTTCTATGCCCGATTTATCGTCTCCTAAGGCTGTAGCCAAGTGGATGAAGGTTATTACAAGGAGAATCAGTTAAATATAGTCCAAAGGCTTGCAGAAGTTGAGATGGTACTGCCAGATGTGTCAAAAACAATGCAGAGATGCAAACGGAATGAAGTGTCATCTGGCATCGGAATCGCACTTACGAAACATGAAGTTGTTTGCCCAAAACTCTGGAAAGATCATTGGGCAGAACTCGCGTGCAGTACTACTCTTTAGTGACTTTGCTATGTAGTTCGAAAGAGGCTTTGTTAGTATTTTACGAACTCGATATCCGAACAAGCGTGTTTTCGCGAATACAGTGTATTTGCCGTTTATAGAATTTAAATAAAGATACAATGAATATATTGCTGACAAAAACCACGTTCACATGAACGGAACGTGCTGGACGTCTCTCTCAGGATTTGTTCAGACACTGGCGAGTAATGGAATCTGCGAAATTGAGGAATCCGAACGGGTTAGCATTGGATGAAACCGAATTAGCGTTTAGGGCTGGTACATCACCTATATCCAGAGAGACGAAAAGGAAAGAATGCGAAAACAGCGCGAGCTGGACCGAGCTCGAGCGAATCAAGACGTCCAAGACCGCACCTTCAAGCATTTCGAAGAAGAAAAAGAGAGAATGGAGAAGACTCTCGACGAGAGCAAGCTGTACGTTCTGTGGTCATCTCTCATTCCCAGACACTTCACCCAAGCAGACGACGTTGATCTGTCGTCCGGAGTGATCATTCCTTCGTTTGACTTGGAAACGAAGCAGGAAGAGCCCGTGGAAGAGAAGCTGGATAAAACCGTCGATTTCGAGAGACTTCTGGGAGCCAAAGAAGGAGAGAAGGAGGGAGAGAAGGAAGGAGAGAAGGCTGAAGCAAGAGAAGGAGAGAAGGCTGAAGTTATTCAAGACATTTTCGAAGGAAAACAGAGCAGTGTCGAGGAATCGTCGGAGAAAACGTCGGCGAATCGCTCTGCGGAGGCCTTTGAGAGCAAGCGAGCGAGGCTGGACAGTGGAGATTCGGCGAACGAGTTCGTTTATACGCTGAAGGAGCAGAGAAAAGAAAACTGGATTCGAAAAGGTCTGGAAGTGAAGATTCTAAACGAAAAACTCGCTAATGGAAAGTGGGGATGGCGCTGTTTTGTCATATAGAGTATATAAAAAGAAAGCGGAAATTATAGATCTCGTCGATGAGTTCACTGCAAAAGTGAAACTCCTCGATAGCAACATGATGATCAAAATTGACCAGGTAGTTGTGGATTGTGGGTGTGACGGAAAGGACGAGTTGCAGACTACGACTCCAAGAGAGGGAGGTGTAGCAATTGTGGTAAACGGACCTCTCTTGGGAGAACACGTGAGACTGAGGAAACTCTTGAGGGAAGAAGACTACTGCGAAGTGGAAATCATTTCAGGGGTTCACAAGTAATACTGGGAAGAGTCGTTAAGTGTAGAAACAAGCTTGTTAGGAAAATGTATTATGACGACATTTGCAGAGAGGTTCATCATGAATAAGCATGACTACTTCGTCCATTTGCTAGTTTTATATCCGTTGTTTATTGTTTGTTGTGACAACTGATACGAGTTTCCCTCGTTTCTCCATTATTCTCCCATTCTAGGTTTTCCCAAAGAATGCTCGCATCTGTTCCTTCTATGATTTCGAAGCGTGCTGTGACTCTTGCTGTACGATTTTGAATCTGTGAGTGTGATGGTGTAGCGCAGTTTCGCCGGAGCTGTTGATTTAACGAAGCCTTTCACTGAAAGACTTGCTGAAGCTCGCCACAGCGCCCTTATTGGTGGAGGCGAGAAGCGCATTGATTCTCAGCACAAGCGTGGCAAGCTGACTGCTCGCGAGCGTATCGAGCTGCTGGTGGATAAGGGTTCGTTCCGCGAGTACGACCAGCTGAAGGCGCACCGCTGCGTGCATTTCGGTATGGAGAAGCAGAACTACCCTGGCGATGGTGTTGTGACGGGTCACGGAACGATCAACGGTCGTCTGGTGTTCCTGTTCGCTCAGGACTTCACTGTGCTGGGAGGTTCTCTGTCTGGCACGAACGCTGAGAAGATCTGCAAGGTGATGGACAAGGCCATGGACGTGGGTGCTCCGGTGATCGGTCTGAACGACTCCGGCGGTGCTCGTATCCAGGAGGGCTGCGACTCTCTTGCTGGCTACTCGGAGATCTTCAAGCGGAACACTCTGTCGTCGGGCGTGATTCCGCAGATCTCTCTGATCATGGGTCCGTGCGCTGGAGGCGCTGTGTACTCTCCTGCGATCACGGATTTCATCTTCATGGTGCGCGACACGTCGTACATGTTCATCACGGGTCCGGACGTGGTGAAGACGGTGACGCAGGAGGAAGTGACGCAGGAGGAGCTGGGCGGCGCTGCGATCCACACGAAGAAGTCTGGCGTGGCGCAGGGCGCGTTCGACAACGACGTGGAGATGCTTCGCGCGATGCGTACGTTCTACGACTACCTGCCTCTGAACAACCGCGACGGCGTTCCGAGCCGCGTGTGCACGGACCCGCGGAGCCGCGCGGAGCCGGCGCTGGCGAACATCGTGCCGCAGGACGCGAACATGCCGTACGACATGAAGAAGCTGGTGAAGCTGGTGGTGGACGAGCAGGAGTTCTTCGAGACGTCGCCCGACTTCGCGAAGAACATCGTGGTGGGCTTCGCCCGCATGGAGGGCCGCACGGTGGGCGTGGTGGCGAACCAGCCGCTGGAGCTGGCGGGCTGCCTGGACATCAACGCCTCGGTGAAGGGCGCGCGGTTCGTGCGCTTCTGCGACGCGTTCAACATCCCGCTGGTGACGTTCGTGGACGTGCCCGGCTTCCTGCCCGGCGTGAACCAGGAGCACCGAGGAATCATCCGCGAGGGAGCCAAGCTGATCTACGCCTACGCGGAGGCGACCGTGCCCAAGGTCACCGTCATCACCCGCAAGAGCTACGGAGGCGCGTACTGCGTGATGTCCTCGAAGCATCTGCGCGGAGACAGCAACTACTCGTGGCCCAACGGAGAGATCGCCGTCATGGGAGCCGAGGGAGCCGTCAAGATCATTTTCCGAGGAAAGGATCTCCAGAAGAACAAGGCCGAGTACGCCTACAACTTCGCCAACCCGCTCATGGCCGCCCAGAGAGGATTCATCGACGACATCATCGAGCCCACCGAGACCCGAAGAAGACTCTGCGAGGACCTCGAGATCCTCCAGACCAAGAAGATGACCAATCCTTGGAGAAAGCACGGAAACATCCCGCTGTAAAGAGCGAGAGGTCCCGAGCCGAAGAAAAGAAAAAAAGGAAAATGAATGGTTGGTATATGGAAAAAAGCGCGAGATGATTAGTTCTGTTTGTTTGTTGGAAGAGTGGAAAGAAGGGGAGAAGCGTTTGTGTTGAGGGCAATCTCTTAATCAATCGATTCATGAACACTTTTGTGGTTCTTTATAGATCAATTGTATGTCATTGAATTGAATCCAGCTTCTACTACTGATTACAATTAGTGTCACATTATCTTTGAAACAAACATTCCACATCACCAGTTGTGTTTCACGGATGCAGGCATCATCTCCGCACGAATACACCACATTGTTGTCGGTCCATTCCACGCAGAACACGCCTTCCGGGTGTTGGCCGGGTCGTTCGTGGATTTCTCTCGGCGCGTTCATGTTCCACACAACGATGCGTCCATCCACCGATCCTGAGACAAGTCGATCTCCCTCCGGAGACCAACTGATCGTCGTCACCGTGCTCTGATGAGCCAGCCATTTGCGCGTGATCACGGGCTCCTCTCTCCCGACCTCCCACACTTTGATTTCGCGACCTGCGTCGCCCACAGCGATGTAGTGATCGTCCGGCGAGATTCGCAGCGCATTGATCTTTGTTCGGTGGTATTCCAGCTCGTGCGTGGCCACGGCGCAAGCATAGCGGATTCCTTCTTGGCGCAGTTCGTACACTTCCACATACTCGCGTCGATCCTTCTCTAACGCCACACACTACGTCTCAATCCCCTCTTGAACCTCGACGGCCAGCAATCTATCGTCCGCTATGTTCACTCAGTCACACGCTCACTGCTCTGAGTAGTGAAAATACTTCCTCTATTCCTAGAATCGCTGCATAGTTTGAAAAGACTTTGAAGAGTGAATCTGAAGTATCGTTAAATAGATTCATAAAAAGAAGGAAATGGTCAGGTCAGAAATCCATACCATTTTCACCACGAGAATGCCCCGCAACGTGCCCCATGTCAAAGTGCATATCCCACTTCACTGTACAAAGACTTCTATCTGTTATAATTTCCGAAATTCTCATGCTTACCGCAAACAGTACCACATGACCTAATACACCTATTTTCACCATTCCACATTATTCAAAGGCGAAGGGCATAGATAATCAAATATGAAACATACTAACTGGACGGTTGACTCCATATTTCGGCCATTTTCTATTTTTTCGAACGTTTTGGAGAACGCTCAATGTCTGGAATAAAATTAAGATAGAAAAATGTGCCAGTTATTCGCCATTATTCTGAGGTGTGTATTTTCGGCGATTTAAGGTATACAAATCCGCTTTCCACGACTCCACCACTCTATTGTTTGATGTATCCACGACTAAACTGAGTTGATGAAAACCGGTTGTCCGAACCGTTTCCATTTTGAAGGAAATGGATTGCGTTCGTGAAGGGCACTAAATTGGTGCAATTGGACAAAATAGCTCGAGGGAATAGAAGAATCTAGAAGGAATGAAAAGCCAATAGTTGGAAAGGTTCTAGAAGGATTTGGAAAAGCAGCGTTCGGATTTAGTTTAGTCATTAATTTTTTATACTTGGTTTAAAACTTAGTACAAATAAGAATGAGCAAGACTTTTACTGGTGAATCTGTTGGTATTGATTTGGGTACAACCTATTCTTGTGTGGGTGTTTGGCAAAACGACAAGGTGGAGATTATTGCCAACGACCAGGGTCAGAGAACCACTCCTTCCTATGTGGCTTTCACTGATACAGAGCGTCTGATTGGTGATGCTGCTAAGAACCAGGTGGCTATGAACCCTACCAACACTGTGTTCGACGCGAAGCGTCTGATTGGTCGTAAGTTCGACGACGCCTCTGTTCAGAGCGATATGAAGCACTGGCCTTTCACTCTGAAGAGAGGTCCTGAGGGCAAGCCTGTGATCGAGGTGGAGTACAAGGGCGAGAGAAAGCAGTTCTCTCCTGAGGAGATTTCTTCGATGGTGCTGACGAAGATGAAGCAGATTGCTGAGTCTTATTTGGGCAAGGAGGTGAAGAATGCTGTGATTACTGTGCCTGCCTACTTCAACGATTCGCAGCGTCAGGCTACGAAGGATGCTGGAACGATTGCTGGACTGAACGTGATGCGTATTATCAACGAGCCCACTGCCGCTGCTATTGCTTACGGTCTGGACCAGAAGGGAGGTGAGAAGAACATTCTGATTTTCGATCTGGGTGGTGGTACCTTCGATGTGTCGCTGCTGTCGATCGAGGACGGAATTTTCGAGGTGAAGGCGACTGCTGGAGATACTCACTTGGGAGGTGAGGATTTCGATAACCGCATGGTGGAGTACTTCATGACGGAGTTCAAGCGCAAGTTCCACAAGGACATTTCGACCTCGCAGCGTGCTCTGCGTCGTCTGCGTACTGCTTGCGAGCGTGCTAAGCGCACTCTGTCTAGCAGCACGCAGGCTAGCATTGAGATCGATTCTCTGTTCGAGGGAATCGACTTCAACAGCCAGATCACGCGTGCTCGTTTCGAGGAGATGAACATGGACTTCTTCCGCAAGACGATCACTCCTGTGGAGAAGGTGCTGCGCGACGCGAAGCTGTCGAAGAGCCAGGTGGACGAGGTGGTGCTGGTGGGAGGATCCTCGCGTATTCCCAAGGTGCAGAAGATGCTGCAGGAGTTCTTCAACGGCAAGGAGCTTTGCCAGAGCATCAACCCCGATGAGGCTGTGGCTTACGGAGCGACCGTGCAGGCGGCCGTGCTGAGCGGCAAGGGCCAGGGCAGCAAGCTGGACGACCTGCTGCTGCTGGATGTGGCTCCTCTGTCTCTGGGTCTGGAGACGGCCGGAGGCGTGATGACGGTGCTGATTCCCCGTAACACCACCATTCCCACGAAGAAGTCGCAGATCTTCTCGACCTACAGCGATAACCAGCCGGGCGTGCTGATCCAGGTGTTCGAGGGAGAGCGAACGATGACGAAGGACAACAACCTGCTGGGCAAGTTCCACCTGGACGGAATCCCACCGATGCCTCGCGGAGTGCCTCAGATCGAGGTGACCTTCGATATCGATGCCGATGGTATTCTGAACGTGTCCGCCGTGGAGAAGTCCACCGGAAAGGAGAACAAGATCACCATCAAGAACGAGAAGGGCCGTCTGAGCGCGGACGAGATCGAGAGAATGGTGCAGGAGGCCGAGAAGTTCAAGGCGGAGGACGAGGCCAACAAGTCCCGTATCGAGGCCAAGAACCAGCTGGAGAACTACACGTTCTCTGTGCGCAACTCGCTGCGCGATGAGTCGATCGCCGGAAAGCTCGCGGAGGCGGACAAGAAGGAGATCGAGAAGAAGCTCGACGAGGCTTCGGCCTGGATCGACGATCATCCCAATGCGGAGAAGGAGGAGTACGAGGAGAAGCAGAAGGAGCTGGAGAACGTCATCATGCCCATCTTCTCGAAGATGGCTGGTGCTGGCGCTGGCGGTATGCCTGGAGGTATGCCCGGTGGCATGCCCGGTGGCATGCCCACGGGAGGTATGCCTACTGGCGGCATGGGCTCTTCTTACAAGCCTGCGGAGGAGGATGACGGTCCTCATATTGAAGAAGTGGATTAAGTGAGCCTGGTGGGTTTCTGCAGACAATATGCATGTAATTTAGTATCGCGTTGTTTTCTTTGTTTGAATACACTTGAGGAGAGGGGTGGAAGAAAGGAAAGGAAAGGACTTTATTGGATTCACAAAAGAAAGAGAGTGATTGACTCCACTACTTTTCTTCTTATCAACACAATGCAACACGATGGAACACACACAAATATAATATCATACATTGCTACAACACTTCTATACTACCACACATCCAAATTCTCACATCTGAAATACTGAATTGACTCATTTCTTTCCATGTGTAGATTTGGGAACGCTTCGCCTATGATAGAGACTAATAGTGATATGTTTCACTCTCCTTTTATCGAAACAGAGAATGAATTTCGCTGATCAGCCACTCTCATCTAGAGAAGTCGATAGTAGAAGTGGTAGATATTGCTTTCTATGGTGGACCTTTCGTTTCGTGATACCAGCTTTGGAAATCTCGACTTTGGGAGACTTTCTTTTTGTTGAGGATCTTTTGTGTACAAATGCGTTATATGCCGGTAATATTCAGAACAGCGTCTATTGAAATAGTTTGTTTGTTTGTTTGCTTGTTTGTATTCTATAATATCTGGATAAAACATAACTCCTTACTGTTTCTTAAACTTTTTCTCAATAATGAATTATGATGAGAGCAGGGATGTAGTACAACTATTAGGAGATGTAGGTGCTCGTTGACGCTCACCAAATGAACAATAGATAAAGAAACGCTTTTCAAACAAAGGACAGAAGCATTCGGAATTTTTGAAGCTGGTCGACTCTCTAAGATACCAGAGAGGTACTTTCCCTACAATACCTCAATGTTTAGACGGCGAAAGAGCTAAGGTCATGCAACAAATACGACAGCTGTTCGTTAACGACAAGGACCTACTGGAGCGGTTTGAGTCGATCATCTCTCCGTCTGAAACTGTCCATTCCTCTGTACGACCTCCAACCGATCCATACAATATGAACTTGTGTTGTCTATAAAAAGCGCTGAGTTGTAGATCTAATCAGTGTAACATACAATACATATCAAGCTATCTAAATCTTGTGAATCAACGATTTCCAAACACCGATATTCCAAAGCAATTTGCGTCTATCATTCAGGATCTTTACTACAACAGGAAGAATTATGATAGTGCAATGAAAGAGGTATTTTTTTATCATATCCACATCAAGACCAGGTGGTTGGGCTGTTCCAAGGCCACGATGACTTAATTCAGCAGTTCTTTTACTTGCTACAGATTCTGAACCAGCCTCGCGACTCTTATCTCCTGAACCCATCCTACCGCCCCCCTCAGCCCTACGATTACTACTACTATCCCAATTATTATCCCTTCGTCGACTCTTTTCCCCCCATATCTCCCGTCGATCTTTCCTACTATCCTTCCGCCCTCCAGTACCCCGTCCCTCTTTCCTCTCCCCAGCAACTCCAGCCCCCCGTCCAGCTCCCTCTCCCCTCCCAGCCGCACCTCCATCCCCAGCCGCACCCCCAGCCGCAGCCGCAGTCCGCGCTGGTTTCTCCTTTTCCGAGCTCCGCTTCGAGTTCGAACGCCGCCGCGGCGCCCGCCAAGACTCCGCTTCGCCCCGCGGCACCCGACGCGCTGCCCTTCGCGGAGCGACGCTTCTTCGAGCAGGTGCGTCGCGACATCTCCTCCCACGACGTCTACGAGCAATTCCTGAAGCTCCTCGACCTCTATAACCGCGGGATCCTGCCTCTCAGCGAGCTGTTCTCGGCGGTGACGGACCTGCTGCACATCCGGCACCCGGTGGTGTCGCACCTGCGGAACTACCTGGCGCAGAAGGGCATCCGCGAGGACGAGGTGGGTCGCGGCAGCGCGCGTCGCCTGTAGATGAGCCATCCCTCGCTGCCGCTCTCCTGGGAGCAGATCCACGCCTGCAAGGGCCCCACGCCCTCCTACCACGAGCTCCCGCCGCAGATCCCGCGGCGCGTGGGGTCGCAGCGATCGTACGCGGACAGCCTGGTGCTGAACGACAACCTGGTGTCGCAGACGACGGGCTCGGAGGACCTCTCGTACATCGTGGGGCTCCGAACCGCGGGTAACGCGTAGCACATGCGTCGGAACCAGTACGAGGAGGCGCTGTTCCGCTGCGAGGACGACCGATTCGAGGTGGACGTGATTCTGGAGACCACGCGGTCGGCCATCGCGCAGCTGCACTTGCTGAGCAGCGAGCTGGAGGCCGTGCAGGAGACGCAGAAGGACGCCTATCGGCTGCGGGACGACGCGCTGTCCGCCATCCAGCTGGCCGCGATCCGACGCGTGTACGCGCACAACGGCATGGACCAGGAAGTGGTGAAGCTGCTGTTCCTGAACCCGCGGGACTGCATCCCGCGGATCCTGGAGCGACTGGAGGCGAAGGAGAAGGAGTGGATGGGGGAGAAAGTGCTGATGAACGAGGTAGCGATGGGGAGGCCTGAGGAGCGTAGCGCTGCCGCGAGATCCAGAAGCAGAACTACTACTTGTCGCTGGACCACCGCAGCTTCTACTTCCGGCAGACGGACAAGAAGGAGATCACCACGAAGGTGCTCATCGACACCATCAAGGACCTCGCCGCCAAGCACGCCGCCGACCATCCCCACGCCAAGGGACGATTCGACCAGGGAGACCCGCAGTTCCGCTTCGCCTTCGCCAACCGCGTGGTCCACAAGCAGGTGCTTCGCCTGCTCCTGGTCGCGGGGAAGCGGCAGTTCGCGCGCGGGGAGATGGTGGGTCTGGGAAACGCCCGTGACGTGCAGAAACGCTTCCACGCGCTGCTGCAGGACCTGGTGATTTCCTTCTTCCGCCTCACGCCCAACTTCATCGCGTCCGCGGAGATCGTACGCGCTGGCGGCCCGGCTGAGCGGCAGGAGAACAGCGGCGTGCAGTACGCCGTCGGCACGCGCGTGGACACGCCGCAGGGCGTCGGCGTCGTCGCGCGCTTCGACGCGGAGTCCAAGCTCTACACCGTCACGCTCCCCGACCGCCAGGTCGAAATCCCGCGGGGAGAGATCCTCGTACACCCCAAGTCCGAAACGCCCGCCTCCTCCGACGAAACGGACCTGCCCGACGAAACGCTCGCTCCAGCGTCGGCGTCGGCGTCTGGAGTGGATGCAGGCTCCGCTTCGGCTTCCGCTTCGGTTTCGGCTTCGGCTTCGGCTTCGGTGAAAAAAGCGGAGGATTCGGAGGAACTGGGCGACGAGGCGCCCGTGCAAATCGAGTCGGATGGTGGGTTCGGAGGGTCCGATTGATCGCAGAGCCCGCGCTGCCCGCTTCGCGCGACGTGCTCTACGGGAGCAACACGCTCTACGTGTTCTACCGCCTCTACGAGCTGCTCTACGAGCGTCTGGAGCGGAGCACGACGCTGTGCCACGAGGACGTCTACACGGAGCGGCGGATGATCGCCCACGCCGTGGAGCGCGCCGTGGACCCGGCTCGCGAAGAAGCGCTGCCCACCGGGCTGGAGCGGAACATCGACCTCATGGACACGCTGATCCAGCTGCTGCGCGGAGAGATCACCAACCCCATCTTCGAGCAGCGCTGCCGCCAGCTCGTCGGCACCAACGGCTACTTCCTCTTCACCATGGACCGCGTCGTCGCCGGCTGCATTCGCCAGATCCAGTCCCTCCTCAGCGACCCCGTCGGGCTCCAGCTCATCGTACGCCGCGCGGACGCGCTCCTTTCTAGGCGCTGCGGAACTACGAGCGACGCAGCGGCGGAATTCGGCGGGATCTCTACCGGCGAAACGCTCTGCGCGTGCTGGGCGACGCGCGGCTGCACTTGTTCCGCATGGAGTACGACGAGGAGGCGAGCGAACTGCTGTTCTGGTACGTGGGACTGGCGCACGACCTGCAGAGACCGGAGGGCGCGCTGGACAGCGAGTTCTGCAAGTACGCGGAGAAGTATTTGAGACAAGCGAGGAACGCGAAGGGGGACGAAGAGGAGGACGAGGACGAAGAAGAAGAAGAAGGGGAAGAAGAGAGAGAAAGGAACGGGCAGAGACAGAGAGAGGAACGGGGAGGAAGACGGAGATACAAAGGAGCAGTGGGCGAGGAGGAAGACATGGAGGAAATGGAAGAAATGGAAGAGGAAGAAGAAGAAGAAATAGATAGCAGCCCGTTTTTAACACGAGCCAAGGCGCGAACTTGGGGAGAACGAAAGGAGGAAGAAGAGGAGGAGGAAGAAGAAGAGGAAGAAGAAGAGGAAATGGATTCAAAGAAGGTAAAATAGATTGTGTTTGTGACAAACAACAAAGAAAACAATTTGAACGTGGTATAGATATATGTTGATAGAAAAAGAATGGCAGATTGTACAGTTGGCTTTGCAAGCTGGAGTTACTTGATGTTGTTAAATCGGATCAACTCTTCAAGGACTCGTGTGATATTGGGATGGTTCACTAAAATCATTTTTGCCCTCGCAGGGTCTTCTTTGATCATGTTCTTTGTTTGACGAAGGAGTTGGTAAGCATCAGCCTGAGTAATATAAGAACAATAGCTTCTCGTAGTCTAGATGATATCCAAAATGCAATGCATACAGAATCCTTCTTTCCTTGTTTACCTCCATCAGGGAAATCAATTCGAAGGGGTCTTCCATCAATTTCTTTCTCATTATTCATCTTCATCGCTTGCTCCGCAGTTTGCTGATCCAGAAATTCACAAAACCCAATTCCTTTATTCTTTCCGGTTTTAGGATCCTTTTTGATGCTACATGTTACTATTCCGGCTTTTCAGCACTCTAGCTTCACTACGTGACCGAACGACTCCATAATCTCCCTCACTTTTTCTTCAGGTGCTTCATACGGAATGTTCCCGACTAGAATGAACAAGGAACTATGTTATATACTGAAAACACATCGTTCAGGATGTTCGTAGTTCATTTGAGCAATTTAAAAATAAAGTGTCAAGGGTTCCTCCCTGTGTCAGTAAATGCTGTCGAGAACTACGATTTGGAATGGCAACAACGTGATTCCTCCCAAATTGTTTGACTGCGTTTCTCCAGGAGTGTATCGGTCAAATCGGTTTTCAAAGGAAAACTTTTCGTTTATTGAAGCCATTGGATTGAAGTACATAGTCTATGTTGGAAACAATGATGTTGGAGATGAGATTGAGAAGTTTGCAGAATCTCACTCCATAACATTGGTATATTGCCTCGCTTTTCAAAATATATTTTGTAGATATCACTATTTGACGTCCACCCAGTCTTGCCAGACGATTGGAAGCCAATCAGCGATGACACCGTCAAGCGCGCACTCGAGATCGTCAAGAATCCTAAGAATTTCCCTGTATTATTAATGTGCAAGTAATCTGCCTTGGAGTTGTTTCATGCTAGAGATGGGATTGGCAAGACAGGAACTGTCGTCGGCTGCTTACGTCGACTGCAGAATTGGTGTTTTACCAGTATAATCCAAGAAGTACGCGATTCTCCCACCCTTTTCCCTCTAGTACCGCCGCTTAGCCTCTAGCTCATCGAACGTAACAGCTGCGGAACTGTATATCGAGCTTTTCACACCTGAGCTTGTGAATTAGTGACCTTCAACAAGAACACAAAGGTAGTTTGTTCCCACAAACACTCTCTCTCTCTATTCTACAAAAATACCACAGCTATCTAGAAAATGAAATCGTTCGAATCCATGTCAAAATCCAAGTCGAAGTCCAAATCACTCCATTGCAGCAGCTCCGTCTTCCCCGCCGCACTCGTTCCATTCTTCGCGTCCTCCACTCTCTGCTCCGCATCTTCTATGAGCGGCAGAAGCGATGCATACGGTCGATGTCCGGCATCCTCCATTCGCTTCTTATACATCAAAACCCGATCCCACAACCCTCTCTTATAACAATCCGTAATCAAAAACAGATAAGTCGAGTAGCTCACATCGCCCCATTCCTTCAAAAACGCGTCCACCTCCTCCCACGCCGCTCGTTCCGCCAGGAGTTTCACAATCGGTTCATAATGATAATGCGACACCTGTACATCGCGGGAGTTTCGGACCGAATCCAACACGGCCACCGCCTTGTCGAGCTGTCCGCACCGCGAATACAAGTCGATCATCGAATGGTAGAAAAACGAGGTCTTGGGGAGTTTCGTCCGTTCCACGACGTCGATCACGTGCTGCCCCTTCTGCAGATCCCCGCAGATTCCGCAGGCGAGCACCAGCTTGGCGTAGGACGACGCATCGGGCTCGAACCCGTCCTCCACCATGTCCTGGAAGATCGCGAAGGCGTCCGCCAGTTCCCCCGCGTTCCCCGCGGCCAGAACCAGGGCCTCGTAAGTGTACCGGTTGGGCCGCTTGGACTCGGCGTCGGTCTGCGCGTCGGGGCAGCTGCGCATGTAGTCGAACATGGTGAGGGCGCTGCGGTAGTCCTTGGCCTTGGAGCAGGCGGCGATGAAGGCGGTCAGGATGTACCGGTTCGGCTCCACGCCGCCGCGCTGCATGGACCCCAGGAAGCGCCGCGCCTGCGCCACGTCGCCCACCTTGGCGCAGCAGGACATGAGGGAGGTGTAGGCGTGCTGCCCCACGGTGTAGCTGCGGCGCTCGAGCTCCGCGTGGAAGTCCACCGCGATGCGCAGCTTGTAGTGGTTCTCCAGGTGCGGCGCCTTCGCGATCCCCGAGAACAGCGCGTTCGTGCAGACCGCGCGCGCGGGCAGCGGGCCCTGCACGAGGTCCTGGAGGAGCTGCTGGAGGTAGAGCTTGGAGGGAGCGACGGGGTAGCAGGCCGCCATGAGCGAGGAAATGGTGTATTCGTCGGGCTTGATGGAGTAGGTCGCCATGTTCTCGCGGATGCGGAAGGCCTCGAGGGGCAGCGCCTTGCGCGCGTAGTAGTCGATCACCACGTTGAAGACGTAGCTGTTGAGATCGATGCCGTGGAGAAGCATGCGCTTGAGAAGCGATTCGGCCTCGGAAGGCTTGTCGACGGCGAGGCAGGAGCGGATGAGGATCGACATCGTGTGGCGATCCGGGGTGACGTTCGAGTCGATCATGGTCTTGTAGGTCTCGAACGCTTCGTCCTTGTTCTTGAACTCTTCGCATTTCTTGAGGAACACGTTGTAGAGCATGATGTCCGGGGTCAGGCCGCGGCGCTTCACTTCCTGCATCACGAGGGAGGACAGCGAAAATGTGTTGCAGGATTGCAGAACGCGGGTGTAGTCGCGGATATCCAGCTCGTAGGGCAGAGAGAGAAGCTCCATCACTTGGGAGGAAACGTCGTTACTCTTTCCCTTGTTTGCGATGATTCCGTTGAGGAGACTCTCCTTCTTGCTTCGCAAGTTTGAGGGATTGGTGTGCACACTTCGCTTCCTGGGAGGTTGATGAGGCTTTTCGAACGAAGGAACAAACTCGGGAGCATTCTCGATTCCTCTAGACCGTCAATCATAAATTACAAGCATACCGAATGGTAGAAAAGGAATTAAGGCCCGGACTCTGCAACGGCGATAAGGAGGATTGTAGTGTCATCGATGTACCCATACTGAAATTTTTGATTCCATTTATACCGCCGATTACTCCCTTCCCAAAAGAGTTGATCAAAGCGGGCTTTTGCAACAGTTGCCTGGGTATTCTTGTCAATTTATAGCCAACTGCTTCCATTGCTATGTTAACCTTTCGGATAATATGGGAATGAAGTATATGGGGAAATGGGGAAAATCCCGAATTCCAGAATTTTCTGAAACCCCTTTTGCTTTTTTTCTTTATTAGCGATGATTTTTACATTATTGTGCTCTAAATTTATGTAAAACGTGTTTGAGCACAGAGTTGTATTCATAGTTCGATTTGTTTGAAACAATACATTTTTTTCAATAGTCTGAATATCTTGTGCAAATGTTATCAAAATTAAACAAATTAACAGTGAGATTGCTCTTTTCGGTATTATTCATCAGAATGTCAAAGGAGCGAAATCCGTTGTCAAAGCCGTTCGCCGCTTCGAATCGAACGGACAGGCGGCTAAAAAGGTTGAACAGCAAATCGGGAAGAATGAAACGAAGGTATGTATTGTTTTCACTTGTCCTTGCTGCTATTGAATTGGATTGAGTGGGATTTTGATTACATTGCATAGATTCCAAGCGCTACAAATGTAAAACCTGCACAGCCTGTGAATGTATGTTTTTAGGCGAATCTGGATGAATAGACGCCACCTCCCAAGCCAAAAGCAGCGAAAGCCAAAATGGGCGCTGGAACCAAGATTGCCTTAACGACTGTTATCGGCCTTCCTGTTGCTTTGCTCGCAGGAATGAAGTCTGGGATCTCTTTGCTATTTCAGTGTGTAGAATGTCTCCTTCTTTTTTTGAGCGCTGCGAAACCGAATATCCCCGCACTGTTTCATTCGTTCGTCAATACATTCCGCTCGGATGGCCAGCGCCGAAAGAAGCGAGCCAGGAGGCCGAGGAGCGCGATAACTTCTCGATTCAGATGAGTTCGAAGGACCTGGAGGATGATGTGCTCGCGTTGTTTAAGAAGGTGGAAACGGAGTTGATGGAGGGAGAGAAGGAGGAAGAAGTGGAGGAGACGAAGCCAGTGGAAGAGGTGAAGGAAGAAAAGGAGGAGGTGGGCGAAGCAAAGGAGGAAACCGTGGAAACGGAGAAACTAGCAATGGAGGAAGTGGAAGTAAAAGAAGAGGAAGCGGTTCCTGTCCAGAAATCGGAGGAAATCCACCCCGAGCCTCCCTTCGAGCAGCCCAAGGAATCTGTGGAAACGGAGAAACCCGAAGAGTCCGAAGAACCCGAAGAGCCCGAAGAGCCCGAAGAGCCCGAAGAGCCCGAAGAGCAAGCCCAACCCATTGAACCCACTCCCAGCGAACCAGTGGAACCAGTGGAACCAGTGGAATCAGCGGAATCAGCGGAATCAGTGGAACCCTCTGTCCCTTCTAAGCCCTCCGAACCCATTGAACCCACTGAGCCCACTGAGCCCACTGAGCCCACTGGACCCAGCGACCCCTCTGTCAGTGTGGACGAGGCGATCATCTCGATGATCGAGCAGACCGTGGCGACGCGCTTCCACGCGCTGGCCTCGCAGCTGCAGGCGCAGACCGACGCCGCGCATCTCGCCGAGCTCCGCTCCCAGATCGACTCGCTCCAGTCCCAGCTCCAGCAATCCGCCATCGAGGAAGGCCTGCGCCTCGCCCAGCTCCTGCAAGAGCAGCGCGCCGAGTTCGACCTCGCGGTCCTCTTCCCTGTCCTCTCTCACCGCTAGCTCGCCGAGCACTCCGCCCAGCTGCGCAGCCGCGTCGAAGCCGAGCTGCGCGCCCAGAAGGACGAGGCCATCGCCGCCGCCACCGAGCGATTCGAGACGAAGTTCGGCGAGGCGAAGGCCAAGCTGCACGACCTCTACATGCGCACGCGGAAGGAGTACGAGTACGAGGCCTCGATGGACGAGTGGGACCAGCTGCAGCGCCACCAGCAGGAGGTCGAGCAGAAGTGGAGACGGACGCTCGAGGATCGCATCCAGGCCATCGTGGAGAAGGCCGCCAGCGAGCGAGCCGAGCGGCTGCAGGAAGAGACCGAGCTGCACAAGAAGACGGAGATGGTGCGGCTGCAGCTGCAGGCGCAGGGCGTTTTGATCGACGAGCTGGAGCGTTATCACGAATTCCAAAAACACGCCATTCTGTTGCAGGAGGATGCCTTGAAAAGCAGGTCGCTCGAGAAGGAGGTCGAGATCTTGGTTCGGTTTGGGGTTTCCTGACGTAATTTGTAGAAGTCGCTCAGCGGAGATGATCCGATTTTGATCCACTTGCTCGGCAATCTTCCTTCCTCCATCGTTGAGAACGGACTTCCTTCCACGATGCATTATTATGAAAAGTTCATTTTTTCGCCCTCTCTCGAATGCAGATTCAGCGAAGTGAAACACGAGGCCGGCGTTCTCGCCAAGACGAACTCTCTCGTCGGTATGGCCGGACAGCTTCTCAGCCGCGTTGTCGTTTCTGTGGTTGGAACGCAAGGACTCAATGAAGATGATCCTCTCTTCAAGCTCGAAAAGGCTGATCAATATTTGTTAGAGTGCGTTCCACTGTCATTTTTGAGTTTTTAATGAATAGAGGTGATTTGCAAAACGCACTTAATGTCCTGGAGAGTTTGGAGGGAGAGCCACAGACCGCGCTGGAGCCTCTGGAAGCGGAACTGCGCGATCACCTCAAGTTCGAGAGTGTGATGAAGCAACTGCGACTGCATTTGGGACGCAATGATCTTTCTTCTCTTTGTAACAAACACAACAATTCGATGTATAGCTCGCAGCTTCGTTCGCCTTCTGCAAAATCAGACATAATTCCTCCGCATCCTCCGAGGGATGTTCATCCTACACATTACCCGAAAACTCAGATTCCAACGCGAAGTTTTCCCGCCAATTCCAACCCTTTTCTCATTAATTCATTCAGCCAAAAATGCTGCTGGACGCGCGACATCTCAGCAAAATCAAGCATCAGCAAATCCGGCTCGCTAGTGGATTCTCCATTTGGCAATTCCGGAAGACCGAGTTCTTTCTCCACATCGACCTCATCATCCTCTTCATCTGCAATTTCCTCAAAGTTTGCAAGTGCCTGCGCTTTTATAGACTCGGTCAATTTGTTTAGTTCGTTCCCTATATCGGAATGCTCCAAGATGGGATCTAATGTGGAGGGAAATGCTGGGGAGTGATTTGCGCCATCATTCTGTTTGCCTTTAGGGTAGAGACTCTGCATCAGTGTTTTGCTCAGCTGAACAGCCGATTGTGCAGCAGCCGTCGCATCATTTACAAGATCGCTCGTGGGAGTTGCTACTTCTCTCGGTGTGGAAGAGCGAGACGAAGAACGAAGCAGAGTTGGCCTAGGTAGAGGGGATGACGAGCTCGACATGCTCGTACTCAATGATTGAGAAGAGGCTGGATCCACAGGCGTTGGAACGGCAGGCACGTCCACAACTTGTGGAACCAGCGGAGCCTGCGCGCTAGCATCGGTGGGCACAGGCTTGGCTAATGTCTCTGATGCGGGATCTGGATTTTCGGTTGTTACTTGGATCGTCGCAGGCGCTTCCGGTCTCTCCAATCCGAGGCGCTGGAGGACTTTCTACATTACAAGCAAGAACGAATGGGACGGGCTCCGGCACAGGGAACGGCTCCTGAATGAGCTTCGCGCACTGGAACTTGCAGAACGTGCGGAGCCTCTTCTCCTAGACATGATGCGAGGACAAGGAGCTGACTTCGTCGGTAATGGAGCTCCAGGACTCCAACGTATCCAGATACAAAACAACATGAGAATATAAAGTAGCAAGCTCCCTAGATGAAACGAACGAGAAACGGAGTACATCGGAATCACATTATTTGGAATTGAACTGTACTGTAGACACGCATAGTACGCGCTTTTATACTTTTGACGCAGACAATTCTATCACTGAGTTTCATTCTAAATCCTTACAGTTCCCTCGGACTCCTCGAAGTTATAGGAGTGTTTCATCGTATGGAGCTGACTTAGAAGGGAATCCAGTACACGTTTCACATAATTACGTTCCGAGTATCCGAGATTTTTCATTACGGACACACACAGCTCAATTCCCTTCCACCGCAGACAATAAGCCACAACGAGATCAGAGAAACATAATGCGTTTTCTCGCAAACTATCCGATTCCTTAAAGAAGGGAATCGCATCGAAGCACGACGCTGGCAGCTGAAAAGTATCCTGAGTATTCATTAACAAAAAAAAGTATGTTCACAAACATGGGAATGGTACAACTAAACATTGGTAATACACGATAGACTCCCCTCCTCGATCTCCTGCATCGGATACTGCGCCTTCCTACGCGTCATCCCCCTCTCCTTCGCCCACTTTTCCTCCTTCTTCGACTTCTTCTTCATCTTCTGCGCGTTCTTCGCGTTCTTCGCGCCTTTTCCGCTCTTTCCGCCCTTCTTCTCGCGCTTCTTCCCCGTCTTCGTCCCCTTCCCGAAGTAGTACTCATGGAACTGCTCCGTCGCGTAGACCTACGCCTCGCTCGCCCCCTTCGCCCCCACTTTGCGCTGGATGTGATACGCGCCCATCGCCACCACGCCGAACGTCAGCAGCTCCATCCCGTCCGCCAGCAGATTGCACGACTTCCCGAGCATCTTCGTCGCGTGCAGACTCTCCATGATCGTCAGGAACACGGCCTCCACGAGGAATCCGCTCGCCGTCACCGCGATCCCCGCGAGGAACTGCCACTGCCATCGCATCGGGATCCCCGCGAAAACCACCGCGAAGAAGACCGGGAGCAGCGCGAAGGCGAGATAGAGATCGCTAGCCGTGAGAGGGAGGCGAAGCGAGGTACCCCGCGATGAACCCGATCGCGTAGAGCACGCAGTCGGTGGCCAATCGCTCCAGTCCGACGCCCAGCACGAAGCCCAGCGTCGCGCCGAAGAGCCGCAGCGCCAGCGACGGGGCCACGCGGATGACCGCCACGCTGGAGGCCAGCGCCAGCGCGGCGAGGAGCAGCACGACGCAGTCCACGAGGAGCGGCGGGATCTTCTGCGTCCACTCGGCCAAAAGCAGTAAGCAGCAGGCCAGATAGACCAGCGCGACGAGCAGCGCGTTCGCGGCGATCACGCTGTGATACACGTTCTTGTATCTATCCGTCACGGCCCTCCAGCACCCCCACCCCGCGATCGCGATGAAGCCTCCCGCGAGGAAGAGCAGAAGCGCCACGGCGATCCACCCCGGGTTCGCCGCGTGCGCCAGCTCGATCGGCCAGAGCATGCGCGTCGACACGCGGAAGGAGCCCTCGGCGAAGCCCTCGTAGAAGTTCCGGTAGCGGTCGCAGAGATACCCGGGGGGGATCGAGATCGCGTAGGTGTTCCGCGGGGAATACACAGAGTCCACGTCCACGCGCACCGCGTCCCCCAGGATGCGCGTGTCCCGCGGGGCGACGCAGTGGCGCGCGGCGGAGCGCCCGTCCCAGGAGCAGATCGACCGCGTGGAATTCGGCGCGATCTCGACGGCCGTGGAGAACTGGAAGCGCACCTCCGGCCTGAAGGAACCGCGGGAGAACGCGATGAGCTGCGCGGAGACGAGCGTGATGTCGCTGCCGCGCACGTCGATGGACTTGTCGACGTCCTCCTTCAGCTGGTTCCCCACCCAGTCGGTGATCAATTCCCGCGGGATGTGCGCGGTGACGGTCCCGTCCTGCGTGACCTCGAGCTGGAAGGCGAGGCGGTTGGAGGCGACGGCGGCGTCGCGGACCTGGGCATTACCGAAGGAGATGCACTGGCCGGACATGCCCGGGGCGCAGAGCGTGGAGAGAAGGCGCTCGACGCTGAAGAGCTGGAGGTTCTCGAGGAAGGAAAGCGCGGGGTTGTAGAGGAGGAGCAGGGGCTCGGAGAACTCGAAGACCATCCAGAAGAGCCGCGTGTTGGTGACCGGGACGGAGGGAGACGCGGCGATGAGGTAGGGGAAGAGGCTGTCGTAGTCGCAGCAGGCGGAGAGGGGAAGCGGGTTGCGCATGTGGTGGACGTGTGTGGTGAGCGTGTCTATACGTGAGTGGAGAGAACGGAGAGGACTCTTCGCGAGGTCGATGCAGACGCTGCCCTCGATGGTGGCCTTGACGGTGAGCGCGTAGGAGAAGAGCGAGAGGTCGTCGTGCGTGATGGGCTGCGGCACGGTGTCGATGTTCACGATGTAGCCGTTCCGGACGGTGAAGTCCTCGGGGTAGAGCAAGGAGAACGGCTCGGAGGTGATCAGCGAGAACACCAAGGTGCTGTTGCTGGTGATCGGCGGCATGGGCTGGAAGAAGATGAGCAAGGGCCCGGTGGGGACGAAGAGCGACAGCGCGGTGCTCCGCACGTTGAACATCCCCGCCGCGTTCTTCACCACGTTCTCGGAGATGTAGCAGCGCATCGTGATGCCCGGCGTGGCTTCGCGCGACGACACCACGCTGAACTGCAGGAGACGCGCGTTGAGCCGATTCTGGCGAAGCACCAAGCAATCCTCGCACACGATCGCCGTGATCGGGAGCTCGCCGACATCGTGCGAAAACACGGCGAGGAGGGATCGCTCCGACGCCAAGCCGCCGCTTCCCGTGACGTCCAGCAGCGTGATCGAAGGCCGCGACTTCTCGTAGGGGATGTCCAGAATGACGGCCTCGCGGTTGTACCCGCCGCCCACCGACTCCACGGCGAACTTGCTCACTTGGAAGAGCTTGTGGCCGGAGTTGGCGCACTCCAGTTCGTAGTCGCAGATCGTCGAGAAGGGGTTGTCCGAGCGATGTGAGACGCGGGCCAGCGAGCAGCTGGTGAGGGAGAGGAAGTACGGCTCGCAGACCTCGACAGTCTGGTCGATCTCCAGGCGGATGGTGAGGTAGCGATCCAGCGAGCCGCCCTCGCCGCTCTCGCCGCCTTCGCCGCTCCCGTAAATGACCGGCTCGAGCATGGAGAGCACGGGCTGGATGGTGGAGGGGATGTAGCGGACCACCTCGTTGAGAATGCCCTCGGACTGCGTGCCTTGGTGGCTGAACACTTCCACTTGGCAGAGAACAAAGCCGGGGTAGGGAGGTCGCACGTAGAGGTACCGATGAAGCACCTGCGTTTGGTCCTTCAGATTGCGCGGGTTCTTCTCGGTCGTTGAGTCCTTCACGTCCATGGGATCCTCCAAATTCTTTGAGTGCTTTGAGTGCTTTGAGTGCTTGGGATCTTTCGACTCCTTATGATTATTGGAATCATTGGAATCCTCGGAATCCTCGGAAGTCAAATCGGAGGGATTGTCCATCGAGACTTCGTGAATCTCCGTCATCGTGTCATCTATACTTCACCAATTCATCCCTCTGCGCACTCTCAAGAAGCCAGCACGTGGGTTCAAAACGGAACTCCCCGTCTTGGATCCATTCCTGCATGGAAGGCGGCGTGGAATTCGAATTCAATATCATCGAGAGCGTGAGCTTCAAGGGCAATTCGCGCGATTCGCGCAGCGACGCCGAGAAGACGAAAGGGAATCGCAGTCCTACGATCAATCCTCCCTCTCAGGTTCTACGTGCGCGATAACGCAACACTGGCCGCCCCGTCATCTTGTTCTTCGCTTCGTCCTGAATCACATTCTCCGGAAAGAGCAACCTCCCCGTTCCCTCGAGCTCCCCATCGTAATTCAAGCTCATGAGATGTCTGCATTCAACACGACCCCCAATTCCTACAGCGTGGGAGACACGTCGATCACCGAGTTCAGCGCGGTGTTCTGCAGCTCTAAATACTTGTAGTTCGCCAACGCGTTCGTGGGCTCGCTGTACTGGATGATCTGATAGAATTTGGACGAGAGGAACACTTTGTCGCCCAGCGGGAACGCCACGGTGGGCGCCTGCACGTCAAAGAACGCAACGATTCGGTCGGTGCCGGGGAAGGTTTCCGTTTTGGAAGCCGTCAGAACACAATCTAAACAGCTCAATGGAAGCAGGCAAAGCTCACGTTCTTTCAGCTGGATCGAACACAAGCCTTCGTCGTGGGGGAACGCGTGCACCACGAAGTACGGATTGAATCCGATGATGTTGAGATTGTTGATATTCACCAAATCGAAGCAGGAAGCGTTCAGCTGAGCCACCTTCTTCGAAAACCGAATATCCACCAGCAGCGGAATGTTGAGAGCCGGCTTTCCGAGGAGATCGCTCATAACGACCGATGCTTTTACCGTATCTACGCACTCAGCCCATCCCCGCACAAACAACCCTCCACAAACGTAGCCACGATGCCCCAGCGATCGTTATACTTCCCGGTGACCAGCTGCACCGACCGAGCGGGCAGCGTGATCGAAAACTCGCCGGGCTGCAGAATATGGAGACCAATCGAGACGACGGTCGCGCCCTCCACGACGCCCTGGTTGAACTGCGCGATCTTGCAGTTCTCCACTTCGAAATTATCCGGCCAAATCGACACGAGCAAGTCCTCCGCGGTGAGAGAAAGCTCGATATTGGAGCTTGTGACCTCCTGTCGGTCTTCGAAGTTGGATGTGAACGAAAAGAGCTCCTCGGCGTAGCTCACTTCGATCATGTCGGAGGCGAGATTGAACTCTCCGGTCGATCGGCAGTAGCAAACCCCGCTTTTAAAGGTGATGTTCACACTCCCGGGCACCACAAACGTGATCCGGAGATGCAGTCGGTACATCGTTGACTCGCTCAGATCGACCAGCACCGACGACGAATCCTGAACGAGCAGCCAGCTGTCGGACAGTCCATCGAACACCATGGCGTGCGAGAACGAGATCGAGGCCGTGATTACATTGTCCGTCTGCTGAATGCCTTCGAACACGGGCATAATGCGCGTCGTCGTGAAGCGAAGCTTCAGCGGCGCGATCGCGGGGAGCATCACGTGCTCGTACCCCATCAAAGCGCCTTGCATCACACTCACTTCCTGCGTTTCGTTGTAAGGAACCAAGACGAGGAGCTGCATGCCGCCTTGCTTTGTAGGACCCAGATTGATGAGGGTGTTCTGCTGCGCGCTGAGCCAATAGGACGTGAGAACGAGCGTGTCGCAGGAGCAGATCAATGTCACGACGGCCGGAACGAGAGTGGAGATGAAGAGAGGGTCCGATCGAAGATAACACGAGCCGTATTCCGGGACTTGGAAGGCGATCTCGGTGCTATAGCGAGAATCCCAGGGGTCGGTGCATTCGCTGAAAGTGCCTGGATGAGATGGGAGGAATGGGAGTACAGTATTGGAAGCGAGCGTAGTAGCTGCCGGGGTCGAGCTTGCAGGAGTAGCGCACCGACGTGATGGATCCTTCGAGAATGAGGACGCTGGGCGAGAGCAGAGCCACGGAGGAGTTCCAATAAGAGGTCGTGATGAGGAGAGAATGCGAAGAGGCGCGTGTGAAATTGGACGTGATCATCGTGAATGTCACGTTCTCCGAGGACATGTGATAATATAAAAAGACGGGGCGGATTTGGTCTATGCATCACCCTCTTTTTCGCGCCGTGTGCCTACCTTTCGATCCGCTGATTGGAAGGCTCTCTCCCTTCCACACTCCTTTCACGCCTCGTTCGTTCTGCACGCCCGTGAAATAGATCGATCCCGCCTGATTCTTCTTAATATCCACCACCACGCGCATCGACACGGCCTTCTTCTTCCACGATCCATCGTACGGATACACAGCCAACGCATCACCACTCGAGATCAGCACAGCCGTGAGCAATTCCCAGTGTGTGCACTCCATGTCGCAGGACACATTGAACACACGAACCGTCCCGGCGCTGGACGTTAATTCTTCAGCGGTGATGGTTGGCGGCACTGCGGAGTACGAGATGGTCAACGATGTCACTTTAATTTGGTTCTCGCGAATGAAGGAGGGCGTAAAGCTGACCGAGATCGTGGCCTCGGAGAGCTGCGGCTTTAAGAGAAGTACAGGATGGGAGAGAGGAGGATTGACGGAGTCGGTGTGGTAGGAAGTGGAGAGAAGCGTGGCGTTGGTGATGGAGAGATTGGACGGCGCGATGGTGATGGATCGCTCGCACAGCACATCCACTTGGATCACGAAGAGATCGTTCACTTCCGAGAGCGACACGAAGTGGCACTGGTTCCACTCGAACTCCACGTTCAGCTCTAGCAATTCGGACGGCCTCGACGCATGTCCCGAATCGTCCAGAAAGGCTCCTTCGTCCGACCACACCTGAATCAATCCCTGATGGTACGGACACACGTAGAAGAGCCAGAGCGAGTCTTGCTGCGATGCACCGTGAATGCTTCCGTGACGCACATGGATCCGGTCCAGATTGATGTGCTTCACGGGCTGCTGCTCGAAGGACGCGATGATTTGGATGAAGTACGCCGAGCTGGACCAATCGATCGATTGGAGCGAGATGTTCTTCGCGATGAGATCGCGAAGCACGTTGGACGAGGAGAGCGAAGAGATCGGAGTGAATGTCGGCTGAATCACAACCGTGTCTATGGATGAGGAATCGATCCGCAGATGAAACCCTTGTGCAGCGAGATCGAATTCGATCGAATGTTGTAATTGCCGCTGTAGTCCATGAAGCAGCCGTCCTTAATAAAAAACGAAATCAGTCCGTCGTTCGCGCCGTTGACCATCAGCTCATAATAGGAGGGCGACACGTTCGAAAAGGACTCGATCTATCCGTCAGTCCTGCACTTCAAAACCCACGATGCCGTTTTCGTTCATTTCGATGCAGTCTTTGTTCATTCCCACCACATCATTGCTCAGCTCGATCCAGCATTTCACGTCGCTCACTCCCACCACGTCCGATTCGCACGAAATCATCGCTTCCGGAGGCGTTATGTCTATCCATCATCCCTCTTCCCCGTCCAAACCGTATTCGAAATCCCACTCGAACCGCTCCGAAACGTCTCCATTCATACTGAGACTCAGTCCCGATGGAATCGTCATGTGTCCCTTTCCTTCCGCCAAAATCTTCAGGACAATGCGAAGTCGGTTCTTCTGCACAATACTCACATCGACCACTCTGCATCCCTCCACAATAATCGAACTGGCCGCCACCGTTCCCGTGATCGCATACGGGTACTGCACGATCACTTCGTACGGATTTCGATTCGTGAACCGAGAGGATAAGCACGAGGCTCCGTCCTGCACGAAGGACAGCGCGACTTGATTGCTCTGCAGATTGTACTGCCCCGAAACGCTTTGCAGCGCGCGGAACGGGAGAACCACCGTCACGTTGGTGATCTGCGAGCTGGACGGCCGCACATAGAAGAGGTAGATATCGAGGAGATCGCTGTACCACTCCTCGGAAGTGAAGAGAGGCGTGGAGGTGAGATGGGTCACGCCCAGCACGTCTCCGCCAGTGATCGAGAGCGCGTCCGTGGTAAAGTTCATGGGCTCAGAGAAGAGGATGTAGATGGGGAAGGGAGCGTGATAGCTGAGCGTTGTGTAGGCCACCATGTGCGTGTAGACGTTCGAGAAGTTGGTGGTGGTCTCCAGCTCGAGCGAGGCCTCCAGAACATTCCCGCATCGGCTCGTTAAATACGCGGAATTGGATTCTACCGATGACTCCGCCCATCCACAATCGACGGTTCGTGAGCGTGACGACCAGCTCGCCTCGCGATTTCGGAATGATGTACACTTCGACGTTGGTGTCGTCCTCCACTTCGAGCTCGTCCACGACGCCGTTCGAGACTTGGATCCAGTCTTGCAACCGATACACACTCCAGTCCATCGACTGCGAGAACTCGATTTGCATCACGAGCGGGACGAACGCGCGACTCCTCCACGAAAGCGACGCTGTCAGCTTGGCGGCGGAGTGGACCACCACGAAGACAGTAACTTCGTTCGTCAGCCCCATGCTGTTCGTGAAGCAGCCGGGCTCGAACTCGAATTTGGTCTCCGTGTTCTCGGTGATGTAGCAGTAGAATCGAAAGGAAGGCGAGTCCAGCTGGTAGATGGGACAGCGCTTCCCGGTGGACACTTTTAAATGGCTGGAGCTGTACGACGCGATGTGGGTCGAGACGTTATAACTAAACATAACGAGATCGGAGTTGGTGTAGAAAGTGCTGAATGGGAGCGAAATCACGGGCTTCGAGCAATCTCCGCGTTATTCTTCTCGTCCTCTCCTACCATCCGTCAGAACCACTTCGTTGGACTCCGAGTTGGGGTTATAAAACTCATCGAACAGCATGCCGCTCGCGATCCGCACTTTAATCGGCGGCGATGTGGACGTTGTGATCGTCACTTTAAATCTACCTCACACGCCCTCCGTTCCTCTACGTAGAGTCGTCCATGCGCGCGATTTCCTTCACCGTCGACTGCGATAAGATCAGCGCGTCCTCCGAAAACCCCGGCAATCGATTCGACGCCGTCACATACAACTCATAAAACCCGTCCAAGCACGGATTGTCCGAGCTGTGGTCCTCCAACGTCACCGCGAACGGGCCGTTCGAAACCGAGAGCTTCTGCGAGTCCACCAGCATCGATCGATGCCCCAGATCGTTATACGCGGCGCCGTAGAGCAGACCGATCTGCATCTCGCTTGCTTCTGCGTCCATTTCGATGTACAGAAACACTTGCGATGTGTCTGCCTCCCCATCGTTCAGAATGGAGAACGTCACGACTTTGCCTCCCACCAGACTCACGTGGTTCACGTTGAAAAACGAGATTTGGCTCGTGAAGGACACGATACACGACACGAACGATTTCATGGAGTAGGATTGCTGCTGCCAGCACGACAAATCCCCTTGAAATGTAATTTCCTGCTGGATTACCGTGAGCGAATTCGCCAGGGTGTGGGAAAGGCCCAGTTGCTGCAGGGAGAAGTCGGGAAGTGTGATTGTGCACGGCGCGGTTTGTAAGCGAATAATAAATTGATAGGTTAGGTTCGTTTGCGAGAGGGGGAGAAGATTGCAGGAGGTCAGAGAAAATAGGTCTTCGGTTAACGGGCGGATCGGTGTAGAAGGCAACACCACGGTAAGGATCTGCAGACCCGAGTACCCTTCCTTTCGATGGGAGAGTAGAACCGATGAGCCGCCTTCTTGGTAAAACGCTGCAAAAGCACTTACTTGTCTGGTCCTCCAACGGGATCTCAAGAAGTTCACTAGTGTATAACACATCATGACCCAACTCTTTCGAAATGGAATGATTATACTTAATGCTAACACTTCGATCATCCATCGCAAAAATGATGCACGAGTTGGGCATACTCAAAAGAGGTAAAACACGCGCTTGGGTTCCATCAGAAACCACGCTAAAATCATCGCACGTAAACGTAAATGGCAATTTCTCCGAGGCTACGCGAACCAGTATGCCCCGGTGCTGATATAACGAAAACTTTTGAATATTTAAATAAACAATATCAGCTACACCTGAGGAACAAGAAAAACACCTACTTTCGGTGCAAAAGCAAGCAATAATACCAGTCAACAAAAAAAGAACAAATCCGTTCATTAAGTTGGCAAATCAATAAATTGTCTTTATTCTCTTTATTTCACGATCAAAGAACTAGCAAATAAAAAAAGATAAAAAGGGTTATTCAACCGCGGTAATAATAAATATATATATATATAACTCTCTCTCTATATATATATAAATTAAAACTACCATATTGTTTTAGGATCGTAAAGGGTATAAGAGACTGCAGGGAAAGATATCGCTTTCTATAAAGTATAAATCGGTGCATTCATGAACAAGGCATTTGATTTTGAAAAAGTAACATGTCTCTTACTATGTCTTTTATTTCTGACTGCAATTTGTGAGTGTCTGTCATTTGATAGTGTTATTGACTGTAAACTGGAGCGGAAATGTCAGCCTTATTTAGAACAACGGGGTCAGATGTGTAAGAATTATACAATTGGTAAAGCTGAGAATGTCGAATTCATTTTTAGTACCCAAATGCTCACATTGGAAAGTGGAATCCTTCAATTTCTATTCTAGTCAGCTGGAAGTAGTATACCTGGATGACTTCACCCTCTCGGAAGATAGAGATATCGATATTAGTACTTTTACCGCCATCTACCTCCCTCAATTGTATTATCCTACACGAAGTATGGTAGAATGGTGCTATCTATACTCTTCCAAGGATATCTATTCTATTTTTTTCACAGATGCGGTGAACTCCTCCTTTACCGCTTTGTATCATGTTAGGTGCGTCTTTTATCTCTGACCTTTCATGGATAGACCCTTTACATCGTCCTTTTTTATTGAAATCAGCAGCCTTCCTGCGCTCGGGGTTCTCTATATGGTTCTCATCCCACGAGTTCCTACAAAAGTGACTATAGGTCTTTATGGATCAGTTGTCCCCTTGGACTTTCCGGAGGTAACAAATAATTGGTTCAAACATCTACTCGATTTATTTTATTCTTCTACATGTAGGGGATGGGTAGGTGCGTCATCTCTAGACACTTTTTGTTGGCTTCTTTATATACTCGTTTTTATTCTGTTTATCTACTGTTGTAAAGATATAGTGAAGAAATCGGACACGGTGCTATCACTCTCCACCGATGTCGTGTTCTTAATTGAGAAACTTAAGCTCCATCCTCGAACCCCTCGATTCAAGCAGGGGGGCGATCACCGGAGATACACTTCCATGCACCTTGATGAGGAATGGATGGAACCTTTATCCTTAATCGAGTGCCAATCTCCAGAAGTGACAGTAATTTATCAAAGTGAATGATGCTCTGTTGTTGTTGTTGTTGTTGTTGTTGTTGTTGTTATCGTTGTTTATTGAACAAACACTTCGAAGAAGAAACAAATAGCGATAGACATAAATATCTAAAGAGAAAGGCAGACTCGCTGACCCATCCATCACGGATTACCACCCGTCATCGCCCCATTCTAGTCCTCATCCGCCCCACGCACCGCCTACCATATTCAAAATAGCCGGGAGATCTGCTGGGAGCTAGGAACATTTCAAGATTGTCGTCGTGTCGACGGTGACGCATCGGTTCGTTCAGACCCATTCCTGCGTACCCGAACGCGTCCGCTGCGCTGCTATTTCCGCCAAAGGTCGCGTCTCTACGCCTCACGCTCGCACGCCACTCGCACCCTCCAACGCTCGCGTCGCGGCTGCTTTCGCTCATCTTTCGACTCCTCGCGGATCCTGTCGACTCGTGCGTCTTGTCCAAGCTGCTCTTCCGCTGCGCGCTCCGCGCCGCGGATCCCGTCGAGACCATGGGGATGCCGAAGAGAGAGGAGCCATTGGGGCCATTGGGACCATTAGGGCCATTAAAGCCATTAGGGCCATTAAAGCCATTAGGGCCATTAGGGCCATTAGGGCCATTAAAGCCATTAGGGCCATTAGGATTGCTGGAGTTGGAGCTGGCTGAAAGAATGGGCCCCATAGTCGATCCAGTATTGGGCCCACTCTGCACATTGGGCCCCATCGCCCCCTTGGAGGACCCCACGGACCCCACGGACCCCACGGACCCCTTGGACGCCATCGAGTCCATGGAGCCGGTCGAGAGCCTGATTCCCGCGGCAGCGCTGCCTCGCCGCGAGCGACTCTCCGTCTCCTTCTCCTTCTTGGCTTCCGCGGGAACGAACTCGTTGAAATTGGAGGGAGAGAAGGCGAATCCCTTGCGCACGGGCTCGAAGCCTTCCTCGGCTTTCCGGGCGGCGCTCATGGCGGCGCTCCGCGAGGGCGTTTCGCTGAATACGCCGCGCGAGGGACTGACGAAGGAGAAGAAATCGTCGATTCTGCCGGTGGAGGAGCCGGGGAAGAATTTCTCGTTGTCGAGCCAGAACTGGTTGGCGTGGCGGTCCTCCATCTTGAACTGGTAGGTGTCGGCGTAGCCGAGCGAGTCGCGCGATCGCTCGGCGCTCTGACTGGCGGGGACGAAGGGGAAGTTGTCGAGCGGCGAGTTGCTGAGGATGGTTCCGTAGTCCCCCGGCACGACGCCCATCCGCATCTGAGGAGGGTAGGGAGCGGGCTGGAAGGGCGGGTAGGGCGAGTTCTTGTAGGAGGAGTACACGGCCTCGGGCTGGAAGTAGTAGTAGCGCGACGGAGAGAACTTCCCGGTCGGCGCGTAGAAGTCTATCGGGGAGTCCGGCCACCCACACACACTTCTGTCGGAGGCGGAGGAGGAAGCGGAGAAGTGAGGCGTGGGAGAAGGCTCCACGACGTCGTCCGGAACGAGGTGGTACTGCACGAGGATGTTGTACACCTCGTCCACGTTCGCTTCGATCCCGCAGATCCCCACCGAGGGATTCTCCGGCGACGAAGGCGGCTGCGCGCACAGCGACACGCACACGTTTCTAGAAGGGGATGAGCGGGCGAGCGGGCGTACTTCTGTCCGTAGTACTCGACGAGGCTCTCGAGCTTCTGCAGATCGACGCTTTGCAGACTGTCGGAGATTTTGCGACGCAGAAAAGAGCCCTTCTCGAGCTTGCTGATTCGCTTGAACGCGTTGCGCCAGATATCCTTGCTCTTCGCGCAGTACACAAGCAAACAAGGCCATCTCTCGTCGAGAGAGGAGATTCGCAGGTCCCAGCACCCGCATGAGTCGATTACCGCCTTCAGTTTGCTGTAGCGGCATTTGTAAAGGAAAATATGACGCTGGCCCTTGAGAGAGAGCGGGCGTTCAAACACGCCATTCTCTGTTTCTTCTGATTCCAAAATCTTTGTAGGGGAGAGAGAGGCGGCGGTATCCTGGTTCGAAGTACCGCTTTGTGTGTCGGACGGCTGATGGAGAGCCGGCTCCGAGGATTGGAGGTCCAGATCGAGAGGTTCGTCACTACTCGAAGACTGATCGTTGAGCTTGTTCCTCGTTGCAGGACCCGAATAAAGGGTATCGAGTCCCGTAATCAAAGTACAGAGAGAAGTGATCACATTTTGAGGAACAACGGAATAATATTCTACAACAATTTGCTTCGCATTTCTTTTTTTATCTATATTCACTTTTGTGGAATAGCCAAGTTTCGCGATAACACTTCGTAAAAGATCAAGTTCAGGAGTCTCCAACTCCCTTAAAATGTTTACAGCAACGCTCTTTTTACCTATACTAAACACGAAACCGTCAAACCTACTGGAAGCAGCAATCACACCCTGCTCAGAACTAGTAGCTACAGATGAGCCGTGCCTAGAACTTGCCATACCAGCTATTGAATCACTTGTTCGAGCTGATCTATTGTCTAATGGAGGGCGCCTCCTATTTGTTTTTACAGAAGGCGTTTCTCTGGTTCCACTCTGTGATTCAGCGAAAGCACTCTCTTTGTAACCACTTTTCATCACAACTAGAAAGATATATCGACTTCACAAAAAATAAAAGAGAAACGGAGGTTTATTCGCTGTTATTACAGAGTATTTATTCCTCCGTGAAATTCCATTTTGTCACTATAGCTTGAATCATCTTGTGCTTTTTCGTGCTTTGAATATTGGAGATAGACAAAGTCGGAACAATGAAGGAAACGACCCATTCTTGCACACTAATACACCACTGAACACAAAGCAATAGTCTCTGCATGACCCCCACTCCAAATCGTCACTTAGATAAAAAGACATTGGATGGAGCAGAGTCAACTAGAACTTGTTCTCAATCTCTGTGGAACGTTGGGATCAATTAACGATGCAGAAAGGTAGTTTATGGCATGGTTTTCAACGACTTGAAGAATAGGAGCTGAGCAGCGTCTGAAATCATTCTACAACATGGATGGCTTTCTGTCTACTCTGCTCCAGGCGGCAGCATGCACCTCTGCCGATTTCTCTAGCCGGTGAGTTTCCAGCATTTCCATTTTTTACAGATAGTCTGCAAGCGGCTATTTATTTCAAGAATTGCGTTACAAAACGCTGGTGTCTTCAAACCAGCGAAAAAGACCCAGATAACCCATCCATCGTGCTATACGAACCAGTAAATGAAGCTGAAAAGGTTGAAATTCGTAAAGCGAGCATGCAATTGCTCGCAACGATAGAAAACGTGATTGCTCTGCAACTCGTAGAAAGTATGCCGATTCTATTTGGAATGAGTAATAGGCCTGGTGCAAATCGGTCTCGAGGAGTACTATATCAAGTGGCCGTCCATGATGCAAGACGTCGTTGCCTGCTGCAATGGAAATGACATCAACGTATTGCACAGATTCCTGAGCGTCATTGAAGGAATCTGCAGCAAGCTGGAGATCGTTCCTGACAATGACATCGTAATCATGCCGTTTTGGTTTGACTCAAAAGATCGGCAACGTCGTGATTCACTTCATCGAAGACCTCAACAAATTCCTCTTTGACAGCTGGTCGAGTTTGACCTCCCTTCTTCCCCAAGTGACCGGTATGAGTGGATAAAAAGGGATTGAACGAATAGACGACTATGATCGCTGCGAAATCGTTCTGGATTGCCTTCTCTTAATCGCGAACGTGCGTCGCTACTGGATCTCCGTGGATGTCACCAAGAACATCAACACGGAGGAGGAGATCACCAACTATTCCTGCATCGATCTCGATGTTTGGATGGGTTTATTCAGCACCATTCTCACAACCGACATCCCTCTCTTCTGTTTCCTCTCTCTCTTTCCGTTTCATCCACAGCCAACACGCCGTCTTGCACCGTCTTCGAGAACCTCAAAGCCTCCGTCATCAATTTCTGCACCACGTTTCCACGTTTCCACGTTCTGAGTGCATAGCTGCGTGAAACTCTACCCCGAGCTCTTCGTTCCCTACTTCCAATCCTTCTCGACGGCTATCTGGAAATTGCTCACCTCGCTCGGCTCTGCCGACACCTCGCTGAAGTACCAATACCTCGCCGTGTCCGCCCTGCAGTTCTTCTCCATCGTACGCTTCTTTGTTTTCTTCGCGTGTAATCCCCAGGTGTGCACGAAGAATCTGTTCCGCGAGAGCTTCCAATCCGCGGACATGCTCTACGAAATCCTGCACGTTGTGATCGTTCCCAACTGCATGGCCACCGAGGACATCATGGATCAGTTCGAAGCCCAGCCCGCCACGTACATCAAGAACTACGAGGAGGGTTTCCGGACCAATTCGCAGCGCTACGCCGTCGCCAATCTCGTCAACTCGCTCAAGAAGCAGTACGCGGACACGGTAGAACCGCGGGAATGGAGCACTCACCGCGCAGTTCATCCCTATGTTGATGAATGAGATCTCGGAATTGCTCAAGGGCAACGACATGCAGAAAGACTGCGCCTACCACCTGCTCCAATACCGCTACGTGCAGTTCCCCAGCATCCTCAAATCCGCCAAAATCGTCGACGACGTCGCCACGGTCGCCAGTTTCATCGAGTCCATCGCGGTGACCGATCTGATGGTACGGATTCCCGCGGGGTTTCACGTAGAACGCCACCTCGCCGATCGTGCAGGCGGATTCTGCCGTGACGCTGTGCGTCTTCCTGGATCAGCTGCCGACGGCGCTGGTTTTGCCGGTGCTGCAGCGATGCGTCGCGTTGATCCCGTCGGCGGTGGAGTCGGTGAAGGTGTTCGGGCTGATTCTGATGGAGCGGATCCTCGTGAAGTATCAGAGCCGTTGGGGCTGGAAGGACGGGTTTGATGGGTAGAGAAGACGGAGATCGACGTGAACGCGGTGGAGAGCGCGGTGCTTCCCTTCACGGAGTACTGCCTGGACATCAAACTCCCGATCAAACAAACCGACCATTACGCGATTCGGCTTTTCCTTCGCATCGTTCTCTTCCTCAACGATCGCGTTTCTCCTTTTCTCCGATCCTCCCTTCCAGATCCTTCCCTACTGCACCACCATTCTCTACCGGCTCGTCAATCTCCTCTCCTACATCTCCAACGTGGTTCCAAACCCCTACTTCATCCACTACCTCTTCGAATCCCTCGTCGCCTTCGTTCGCATCAGCCGCTCCCAGGCCGATCTCTGCGCCAACATCGAGCAGTACCTCACTCCCTATCTCCGCGAGGTACTCCGTTTCCACGTTTCTCCTTTTCTAGTATCTCAACAACGGAATCGTCGAGTTCATTCCCTACGTGCTCCAGCTCTTCGCTCTGGTTTCCCCGTTTCCCCATTTTCACCTAGATCATTTATTCGCGGTCGACGCCGAGCGAGTCGAACGCCTGGCTTCTCTCCATCGTGCTGAGCGAGGACTCCTGGAAGGAGCGATCCTACCAGACCGCGCTCGTCTTCCTCCTCACCGTCTTCCTGCTTCGCTTCCCCGCCATGTTCGGGCCCGCCGAGACCAAAACGCTCTTCCTTCTCTTCCAGAAACTCTGTTCCGCCCGGTCCTCGCGGCTCGACGGGCTGAAACTCCTCGTGCAGATCGTGTCCTCGCTCCCGAAGGAGGCCATCGAGCCCTTCCTCCCCGCGGTGATCAACATTCTGACCGTTCTCGCGGAGGTGGGCATTTCCGAGTCGGCTGAGTCGTAGCGCGGCGCGTCGCAGGCGATTCGCGAGCAGATTTTGCTGGCCTTGGCGTGGCTGACGATCCGGTTCGGCCGGTCCGCGTCGACGCAGCTGGTGCTGCAGAAGGGCGAGCAGGTGTTCCTCGGGTTTTTCTCGGTGCTGTTTCGCAATGGAATCAACGATATGAGCGAAGTCGTGCAGAAAATCGAGGCTTACGGCATCGTCAAAATGCTGGAGACCGAGCAGGGATTCTACGCGGCCAACCGCGCGGCGCTGGGACAGGGACTCATCGCTGTGATGCGCTACGCGCTGAAGGACGTGAATAAAAATCTCTTTACTGGAGATGCGAGTTTCCTGAATGTGGGGACGAGGGTGAGGAGTGAGTGGTAGAAGGCGGTGGAGTACGATGCGTATCACAAGCTGTCGCTTGCGAGTATCGAGCCGGCGGATCCGATCCCGGAGGTGAAGGACATGATGAAGGTGACACAGGACTTGATTTCAGTGGTGGTGCAGCAGTGCGGAGGGTCCCTCGACTCGGTTCTGCAGGCTCTGCCACGAGACGATCAGGAATATCTTTGGAAGAAGTTGAATCAATGGACTGTTTGTTCTCAAACACGCAAAATGACTAATACTCTCTGGTTTCTCCTGTATATCGATTATGAAGCACACAGCTATTGCACAAGTGATGAAGCAGCTTGAACTTGCCGCATTTGGGACAGACGACGATATTGGTTTTCGGCTCCAAGTTTTTCGTGGCTCTGCGCTGTCTTCTTCTGTGAATGGAGGACTATATAAGAACCAATGCGCTGGAAACCTACTCTCTTTTTGGGAACCGCAAACTGCAAGAAATTGTCCTGAATCCATGTTGCCAAATCTCTTCTTTCAGAAGACTCGCCTCCGTTGGTCAAGGCAATGGGGATTCGCTGAAAAACAGGAGTAACGAGCTGCAACTGCGGAAACACAGGGAATATTCTGTACGAGAAGCTCTGAGCGCAGCGAATAAGAGTACTCAACAGCATCTTCAATGTATGAAAAAGGAGGAATGCTTTTCGGTCGAATAACCGCGGGAACTGCAAAGTCTCGCTTCCCTTTCAATTCGCGCTTCCAACAAACAGAAAAACATTCGAAAACCACACTGATGATATTAAACAAAAGAACTTGTTTAATCATCCTGAGCCTTCTTAGCCTTGTGAAGAGCAGCACGACGACCCGTTCCCCAGATCTTCTTCTGGTGGTTCTTCTTTTCCTTCAGCATCTTACGTCCCTGTCTCTGGTGCTCCTGAATTCCGAACTACATGGTCAATCACACACACACAACTCGTACTCTGGCCAGGCGGTACTTGGCCTCGAACTTCTTGACGTCATCGAGAGAATCGTAGATCAGAGCAAAGCCGGAAGAACGACCACCTCCTAGCTCTCAGAACCACTCAGACACTCCCCACCGAAGGCAATTTGGAATCCAAAGAGGATAATGCACTTATCGTCCTTGACGTTGTACTTCTTGGAAAGGATGCTCTTGAGCTCATCCTTAGACACGGAAGCACGCTTAGGATGAATAACCTCGACGGTCTACACCTAAGACCCATTCTTCCACAACAAACCATCTGGCGACGCTTCAGGAGGGGATTTCTCATGAACTTTCTCACGCGGACAGTAACAGCAGCTTCGGACATTCTCAACCAGTGTTGTTATTGGTTTTCCTCAAATTTAGAGTCGCCTGTTTAGTGGTTCTTGAACATCAACAAACTACTATATGGCACAAACAACGCACTTTCCTTTCATATTCGTTAACAAATCGCATTTAAACTTCTCAACCGACTCGTATACCGTCCCATATCGCTTGGCTGCCTTCCCGCGCAATGTCATCACCAGCGAGTCCGATATTCGCTTGCCTCCGGGCTTTATAATGGAGATCGTTTTGTTGTTTCCGCCCAGAACAACCGTAACTGTGTCATCCAGCAAACCCTCTTCAAACGCGTCCGGATCCATCACTTCGAACTCGCTGTAGAGTCCGAAGGTCACTGCCACGGGGTAATCCAGAATGGTGAGCGGATAGGCAGCATCTGCATAAAATAGACCCTTGCTGAACGTACCATAATCGAAAACAAGCTCCTTTTCTTTGAGTGAAAGCTTTGGGACGCGGAGGGTCAGCAAGGCTGAGAGGAGCGCCAAGCAGCAGGCATCCAAAATACTGCCTTCGTAGTCGATGCAGATAATACTGGCATGGACGCAGATCACTGTGCTGGCCTCTGCACTGTACAATTCATTTAGGTCGAGAACATATCTAGGAGTGACTTCGAGAAGATCGATTTCAACCTTTGGAAAATTTGTTTAAGCACCTGGGCGTAATATTTAGACTGTTTGTCCTGCTCGCCGTAGAAAAAGTCCGCATTGCAGAGAGAAGACAAAACGATATTTACATCTATGTCACAAAACGCACAAGCACGTAGTACCGAGAGACCCCTTTGTGTCAGAGCTTTCCTTGGCTGGGTCGAATGAAAGTTTCAACCCACAGATCACTCCCGTTTCGCCGATACGGACAAGACTCGATCCATCCGCAGTCCCAATATGACCTAGCGTCAAATCAAACACAAGAAAAGCGTACCATACGAAATCAAAATACCACGAGCATCGTCAATTCCTCTTCCATCCGGACGAACCTCGTTTTCCAAATATCTGCAACTAAGTCACGCAAACAATATTTACTGTCCATAGAAAGCTTTGGGTTGGATCTTCTTAAAGACTTCTGCGTCCATGGTATAGAATGGAATGTTTTTGGAAGAGAGGAATTCAAAACGAGAGGAGCGGTTATTTTCCATTTCTGACGACTTTACGTGTTTTTCAAAAGAAACATTTACTTTCGCTCTAGGTGGAGTTGAGTGCATTCGATCCTACCGAAACAGTAAAATTACTTTTGTTCTGCACCTTTCTCCCTGTATTGAGTAATTGCACAACCTTGCATCATGGTACGCTCGTTTTTGTGGTGGATCGGCTTATTTTGTAGATAAAAATACAAGAGATGGAAAACTTGCTACACAGACTTTTGGGAGGCGATAATGCAAAACGTGAAGCCGCTGAGAGGGTCATAAATGAGTTAGAGAAGCAGCCCGAGGAGTACATGATTTCCTTAATATCTGTATTTTCTGCTTTCGTTTTTTACCTTTGTAGGTGTTGCGGACGTCGACCTTGTCATCTGTGCGAAACCTTGCTTGCATTCTGATTCGCCAAAACCTTAATGTTTCGGAAGAAGGTCTCTGGCTGAAGTTAGACCACAATTTCCAGTGTTCCTTTCGGAACGAGCTTCTGCAGCTTCTGGAAGTAGGTCCGGAGTCGTCGGTTGAGTCTAGACGGAGAAAGAGCTAAATGTTCGCGAAAAGATCTGTCAGTGCATCGGCGAACTGGGTCTAAATCTCCTCGAAAATAACACGGTGGGTCTCTCTTTTCTTATTCTATTTGCAGTGGCCCGAGTTGTTACCCATCCTATTATCGCTCTCTCAGTCGCTGGATCCCGCGACGCAGCTGAGCGGCCTGACGATTCTGCATTACATCGTTCCTTATTTCGCCTCCATGGACCGCGATGACATCCCGAGTCTCGTCGCGCTGTTCCACCAGACGTTACAGCAGCACGAGCAGCCGCTGATCCAGGTGGAGACGTGCCGCGCGGTCTGCAGCCTCCTCTCGAAGCTGGAAACGAATGACACGATCCAGTTCGTAACGCTGATTCCGCTGATTCTGCGCGCCTTGAGCGACATGCTGAACCGCGAGCACACGGAGTTCGCGTGCGAGATCATCCGCGCGATGAGCGACCTGGTGGAGGTGCACGCGACGTTCTTCAAGCAAAACGTATCGCTCCCGCCGCTCCCTCCCCTCTAGCTGGAATCGCTCATCCAAGCCATGGTCTCTATCGCGCGCTCCAAGGCGCTGGACGACGACACGCGGCAAGCCTCGCTGGAGTTTCTCACGCTGCTCATCGAGAACTCCCCGAACATGATCCGCTCGCTGCCCACGTCGGTTCTGCTCACGCCGCTGCTGCAGATCCTCTTCTCCATCCTCGTCGAGATCGACCCCGACCCCGCGCACACCTGGGAACAGGACGAGACCGAGCCCGACGAGGCGGAGCCCTCCATGTTCAACTACACGCTCGGCGTGCTCGCCCGCGTCAGCCAGGCCATCCGCGGCCGCGTGTTCCTCCCGCCGCTCTACGCGCTCATCGACCGCTCCATGCACAACGCCGACTGGCGCTACCGCCACGCCGTCATGTACACGCTCTGCCAGGTCGGCGAGATCGTCACCGACGAGACGCAGCGGCGGCAGATCGCCCACTACGTCATCACCTCCTTCCAGGACGCCCATCCGCGCGTCCGCTACGCCTCCGTCCGCTGCCTCGGCCAGCTCGCCACCGACTTCCAGCCCTTCCTCCAGCACGAGCTCTCCGTCTCCGCCCTCACCGCCATCTTCTCCCTCCTCCACGCCGACCAGCCCGTCCGCGTGCGTTTCATCACCGCCGCCGCGCTCATCAACTTCGTCGACGGCGCCGACCCCGCCGTGCTCCAGCCCGTGCTCGGCGACATGCTCCACGCGCTCCTCGACGCGCTTCCCTCCTCTCCGATCCTCGTCCAGAAGCAGGTACGCGTCTCCCGCGGTTCTCACGTAGATCCTCGCGGCCATCGCGTCGATCGCGGACTGCGTGGGCGCGGCGCTGGCGCCGTTCTACCCCGCGGTTATGCCGGTGATCAAGCCGCTGTACACGCAGCCGTCGGAGGCGGCGGAGCGGCTGGGCGACAGCACGGAGCGGTCGTCGTACCGGTCGACGGCGCTGGAGTGCATCACGTGCGTGGGCGCGGCGGCGGAGGTGCCGCAGTACCGGCAGGACGCGCGGGACGTGCTGGAAGTGATGTACCGCGAGGGAATGGGAGAGGTGGAGGAGTCCTCGGAGATGAAGAACGCGATGATGAGCGTAGGGAAACGGAGAAACTGTGAGGTAGGCGTGGGGACGGATGTGCTCGGCGCTGAAGGAGGATTTCCTGCCGTACGTGGACATGATCGTCCCGATCCTGCTGAAAACCGCGAAGCAGGAGGTGGAAACCCCCGAGGAACTCGACGACTTCCTCGACGAATTCGACGTAGGTGCGTGCGTGTCGCTGGAGGGTAGGAAGACACGGACAACATCCGGACGAACGCGATGGAGGAGAAGGCGATCGCGTGCCGCACGCTGGCGCTGCTTCTGAACACGCTGCACTGCGGCCTGGCGAGCTATCTCCCCGCGATCACGCAGACCCTCCCGCCTCTTCTCAACTCCACGTTCGACGACATCAAAATGGCGGCCTTGGTGTCGATCCCCGACCTCTTAACCGCGATTTCCGAGACCATCCAGGACCCCGCGTCGGTGGAATCCTACCGCCAGACCTTTTTATCTCTCATCGACCTGCTCCTCTCCTTCATCGCCGACGAGTCCGAGCTGGACATGCTGCTCCCCGCGCTGCAGACGCTCTTCTACTGCATGCCGCGCGCCGTGCTGCAGCGGAACGGACCCATCCCCATCATGCAGGGCGCCGAGGTCGCGCGGATCATCGAGGTGCTGCACGCCGCGCTCAAGGCCTCCTTCGAGCGCCGCGCCATCCTCAGCGCCGACGTGGAGCGCGAAGACTGGGACGAGGAGGAGGTCGAGGAGTTCAAGGAGATCGAGGAGGGCGAGAACCAATCGCACTACTGGATCGCCAGCATTCTCGGAGAGCTCCTCAACGGCCACTCCGACTTCGCGCTGCCCCTCATCCACGAGATTCTTCTCCCCGACCTCTTCGACTGTTGCGACCCCTCCAGAACCGCGGGGGACCGCATCGTCGCCCTCGTCGTCATGGAGAAAATCGTCGAGTACTGCGGGAAGGACGCGCTCAGCTACTACCCGCAGTTCCTCCCCATATTCCGCCGTGAGCTCCGCGTCCCCGACGCCTCCATCCGCGAGGTGGCCGCGCAGGCCCTCAGTTTGGCGGCAGAATTTGGCGGGGAGCTGCTCTGGGACACCGCCGAGTCCTGCGTGCGCGAGCTGCAGAGCGCTCTGGAGGACCCTGCCGCGGCGGAAGCGTGCTACGCGGAGGCCAACCAATGGGGAATCGTGGCAATGGGGAAACTGGGGTTCTACTGCGCTCCCGCCATTTCGACCCTCCCCGCCGTGTACCGGTTCTGGCTGGACCGGCTGCCTATCGAGGACGCCGATCTGCTGGAGATCTGCTTGTCGGTGATGTGCGCGCTGCTGGAGAAGGGAGATGTCGCATTTCTCGGGGACACCCAGCAGAACGTGCCGCGCGTTTTGCAGGTCCTGTGTGAGAGTCTGGGAAGGCTGGGGAACGCCGCGGCGGAGCAGCAGGTGCTGAGGATGATTAAGACCATCGAGATGCAGGCTTCGCCGGAGCTGATGAACGCGTTGTGGAACGTGCTGGGGAGCAAGGCGGAGACGATCCGTCAGAAATTGCAGTCCGTTTAGCGAAAGAATGTCGTTTATGTCTATTCTTTTATAGTCATGTTGTTTGTTTAAGTCATTCGACTGTCCGTGTCCGTGTCCGTGTCCGTGCCCGTGTCCGTGCCCGTGCCCGTGTCCGTGTCCGTGTCCGTGTCCGTGTCCGTGTCCGTGTCCGTGTTACTATCAGTACTGTTGTGGTATTTTTTTGCTTTGTTTCTCCTTGAATCCATATTTGTTTGATGCAGATTCCAGAAATCGGGACGATTTTGGGATTTTGGGTTGGGAGGAAAGTATTTGGTTCAGATTGTTGACGTGTGGAAATGGACAACGAGTTGATGAAAAGACTCAATGAAAAGAAATACTTGCAAACATTCCAGTATTTGAAAGAGATCTACTGCGACGATGTGGAGTGCGTGCTTTCCGTTTTTTCTGATTTCGTAGACTTTCTGGTAATTTTATATCGCTCACAAAGAAGTCCTCGCTTATTTACTGCCTGAAGGACATTATGCAAGCTCTCTGTGGTTCGGAAGTGTCAGTCGGCGCACCTTCGTTCTCCATTCTGTCCACCTATTCGAAAGAGGTGTTTGTCTTCAAAGGCAAGGAGTTTGGCTCTGTAAAGGTGGTAAACCAATCTCTCCCCATTATTAACCGAAATATGTAAATATCGCCTCTTTCATCGTCATCTCCAGCAACCTACACCTGCTCTCCAAGAAAAACCAGGAAATGTCTCTCCCAGAGCTGGTTCTCGCCGTTTTTGGCTGCTACCCCGAGAACCACTTCCATCTCTTCCCCGTGCTCCTCCAAGACAGCGGGAACGTATATCTCCCTCTCTCCACGAAGCTGTTCCCTCCGAGGTCCTTCGATTCCTTCATTTCTCTGTATCTCACATCTCCAACAGCGACATTTCCCTCCACCACGCCCGCTCTATATTCCCAATTTCTTTCCCACAACCCCTCATCCAACTCAAAAGACACGATCGACGTAACACCCTACGAGTACTTCATCCTTCGCTTCCTCCGATGCATCGCCGATCTCTCCATCGACCCTCTCTACTCCTTCCAGCTCTCCTCCGACACTCCCGAATCCCAGCAATCCGCCGAGACCACCCGCGGCACCACCGCTGTTCAGTTATTCATCCAAATCATGAACTTCGTGATCCACCCGAATTCTCCCTCCAAACCGCTCCCCGCGGTTTCCTCGCGGTCCCCCTCCTTCCAACGCCCCGACTTCTTCCTGTTATCCGCGGTCTCGGAGCTGTGGCTGAGCCGGGACAGCTGTCTGAGCGACTGGAACCGCCTGTTCCAGACGTGTCTGTCGCGGTCGGTTTCGATGAGTTTTTCGGTAGAAGCGAGGCATTGCTGGGACGTAGATGCTGCCCTCGCTCTCCCGTGTGATGTTGTGCTGTTTGTTTGATCTAATTCGACACCTGCAAGCCAACGAGGCGTTGCGAAAGGACGGGACTTCCGAGATGTTCGTGGTGTTGTCCCCGTTTTTGTTCTTTTTCTTCGCGAAATACTTCGCCTTCTCCGATTCCGCGTCGATCGACCCGCAGACGCAGCTGCAGATCGTCGATGTGGGGCCTGGAGGCGCGCTCGATTGTAGCTGGTGCGCTGCTGGTGCGCCTTCCTGACGCCGTGGCGCAGCGACGAAGAAATCGCGGGCTATCGCCTGTTCATCAGTCGGCATTACCTGTTTTATCGGGGATTGCTCGTCCTGCTCGTGAAACTCGTCGCGTTCAGCCAGCTGCAGGCGAAGCAGGTTCACGACATCGTCGATCGCGTCGCCTCCGTGTTTTCTTCGCCCGTTTTGGCGGTGTTGAACTCGTGCGACACGCTTTTAGACATGTGCGAGCAGCAGAAACGATACGACGACGTCGCCATGCAGCGGCAAAGCGAAGTTTTGCACGACGGAATGCGCGTAACGCCCTCGCCGGCGCGGCTGAGCCGTAGATCCTGGGCGTTTCCGCGAGCGGGAAAGTGAAGGCGTCTGCGAATGACCACGATGTCAATCTTCGCTTCGTCGAGAAGCTCGTTCTGAGCTGTCGAACGTCGAAAGAGCCGCTGCGAGCGGATTTGCTTCGAAAATGGGCACGAATTTTGGAATACGATGAGAGCTCGTTTTTGTCGACGTGTTCGAAGCTGCAGAAGACGGATTTCGCGGAGGAAGAGAGTCCGAGCGGTGCGTGGAGCAGTTTTGTGGCGTGGATCGTGGGGCTGAGCGATGGAAGTGAGGGATAGAAAGAGTTTTTGTTTTCGACGGTGGCGACGCAGCGGCAGCGACGGCCGGTGCGGCTTTGCGACCCGGTGAATCGGTTTGAGAACGTTGTGGTGGTGCGAGGATTGGTGAAAGCGACGATGTGGGTGAATTGGATGCTGTTGGTGGCGCTGGGAAGAGAACGCGAGGTGGAAGGAGTGGATTGGGAGGAGTATTTTAACGATCCGGAGCATGTGATGGTGAATCTGCGATGGCTGGGCGATGTTCGGAACGTGGTCTGGCTGATCTTGTTTCTCCAGTTCTGCAGGGTGGTGTATTGGATTGGGATGCATTTGTAAATTGGAGTGTTTGTTGAATACTCGAGAATGAGGGCGAAGTGGAGGTGTGTGAGTGAGTGAGTAATTTGTCAGTTTTAATAAATGTTATTTAGTGTGTTAATGATATTGGTTTATTAACGGTGGTTTGTGGTTAGAGATATTTCTCAGACTCCGTCAGTTGCGAGACTACAGCTTGAAGTTGACCCTAATTATTTGTTTAGTTTCTCTCGCTGTTGCTGACCTTGGACAACTAGTATTATTGTTCATTATTGGAAATTTGGTGTGAAATGTTGACAGTATTTTAACACGCTAACCTATACTGTTTATCGTAAGGTGAGGTAAGCCATGTACTATTGTTTGCTCATCCATGGCTCACTTAGTGACGGTACGTATTCGTGGATCAACCCTTACAAATATCGGAACCCCTTCATCACATCTAGGATTGTATTGTTCCGATCAAAGGAAAGACAACTCGTTTTTCATGTCAGACAAACGATAATGCACGATTTTTAGTGTATGCACATTGCAGTCTAAGATCCATCTTTTGTAGCCTGTGCACGTTTCGAGTGTTTCGGTAAGCTCTATGATGGTATTTGTGAATGCTTGGTTGTTGATGGGTTTGAATGTATTTTCGCTCCCTGCATCTCCCTTCCTCTCTGCCTCAAGTACACGCTTGTACAAATCGGTGTTCTTCTCGCTCATTTTCTCACCATCGATTGCCACATTACAAGAAACATCCTTTACTACATTGTGTATCACTTGCTTCTCATCCACCAGACAATATATCTTCGGTCTGAGTCCCACAAACTCTGTGATACGATGGACATTGTGTTTATCCTTCAAAATGGGTTCCTCTAGTTTCTTGTTGAAGTTGAGAAATGATGAGAGCGAAGGGAACTTTCTCTTGTCCACTATCTGTTCGTAATAGTTCACGAGTTGTCAATAGAAATAGCTCGTGTTATTCAACTCCGAGAAATCTAATGGCTTGCACATGTCGCACATCTTGTGAATGTTGTTTCCTCGAACCTTCAACTGCACGATGAACGAGCCTGCGTCTTGTACCAACAGCTCTACGTTATCGAATGTGATCTTGAGCACATTGTAGTAGAAATTTTAGATGTTGTGTTTGGACATGTCGAGGATGGCAAATCTTATGAAGAATGGTTTCACCACTTTTTCTCACCTCATTATTCCGATTGATACCATTCAGATTCTCGGAATACATGGCGCTTTCTACGGTCATATCGTGCCCATGCTTCTGGATGATAGCCTCACATTCATTCCATGTGGTGGCGAACTTCACTTTCATTCGTTTCAATCCAGTCTTCACGAATTTGCCTTACGTTGTATTTGCCAATAACTTGTATAGGTTCTTCTCCACAGTGGTCTTGGATTTGGCTCGTTTCTCATTCAACATGTTCCCATATTCGAATATGAATGACGCTTGTTTGAGGAGTGTATATGTCAAATCCTATGAACGAAATCAACCAGAGTATAATAAATGAATCAATGTCGTACATATTCAGCAGCAATCCAAACAATTATACGTTCAAGAAGCTCGATAACATGCTCATCAATATGCCCGAGAACGACAGCAAACATGTCCTCGTGCATGAGACAGTGGATGACGTTCCTCAATATTCATGGACAACACATTCTGGGTGTTTTGTGAAAGTCAATAATGCCACATTGTTTGAACATACACCCACATCCACTCAACCATTCAATAATCAATGCCAATTCCAATTATCTTCTGCTTTATATTTCATAATCACATCGATTCCATGTTACAATGAAAATAATGCCCTATTCAAACATTGTGATTCCATCGAATCGGTTGTGGATAAGGGATACAAGGTGAGTGTTTCAATGGATGGTGTGTGCCTGCTCGATGTACCATTCATCGATATACTCAACAATCTTGTGATCCTTTCCCATACCAAACTGAAAAATGGAATCGAATGGACAAATGAGAGTCATACGATCTCTGTATTCACGAATATCCCTTCTCTTGTATGTCTGAGAGGTGTGAAAAACATCACGATCGTTTTCAAACACTTGGGCGAGGTTGTTGTTTCTTCTTCTTCTTCTTCTTCTGGGTGCTCGTAATGGGTCGATGTGACCTTGCTGCCTCTCTCAATGCATTGGGTTCCTTACCACTCTTGGATCGCGTGATGGGTGGTGCTAGTTGTGGTTTGCATTTGCTTGCCAGCAGTTCCCAATCATAACACTTCTGTGTGCTATCGCTTTCCACATTCTTCACTTCGTACATCAATGGCATGATGTGATCGTCAATATCAACCACTTCAACCAAGTCCTGAGACCATTTGTTCGTCAATGATCGCTTTTCCAAAATGCGAGGTCTTCGTGTCACTCGAACATAATCACCAACATCGAATTGAGGTGTTGTGTCCTTTGCTGTCATATTGGATGGTTCTGTTTTCTCCATGTACAAGATATCGTTGTTGTTGTTAAGCCAAATGTCATTGGGTGTATATCCGCTGTCTCTGTTCTTCCTTCCATTGTGTCTTCGAACTGTACCATCGATCAAATCAAACCATACACCTTTCCATTGATTGATTGAATGGAAGGAAGGAACCATGATGTGTTCCTTGATATCTCGAATTGTTCGTTCAGCTGGTACTGCCTTATTCGCTGAATCCATGTGATACATGGTGATGTCATACTTGTTCAAGATGTTGGTACGAAAGATGGCATTGGTGAATTCGGTACCTCGATCCGAGCAAATATGCTTTGATGATTCACCATATGTCTGAATGATATCCTTCATTGCATGAGTGACTTCTGTAGCACTCTTGCTTTTCAGTTTCCGAGTCATCAGGTATTTCGAATATCCATCAATACATACAAGGACATATTTGTATCCACGATTCTTATAGAATCCAATACTCTTTGTGATCCTAACACTTCTTGTATCTATTTGTGTTGTTTGGAAGAGAAGTCGATGAGATCGATGAAGTATATGTTTCTCTTGAATCCACTGATGATCACTCGAGTGGCGCCTCTTCGTTTTGCTGGTTTCCATAGTTCCTTGATCTCATTCATGCTCCACACACACCTCGATAAATGAATCGCTTTATTCAAGGAATGAATAAGTTGTGTCAGAGGAAGAATCACAAACTGGTTATAGACTCAAAATGCATTTTCTCCACTATACACTATTTCAAATAGAACATCACTTGCATTCAACATTGTGATGATCGTTTTGATATCATACGTACCTCGTGGAATCGATATTACACTTTCATCTGTTCTACCTCCATTGATCACAACTACTTGATCAGATGGTACATTATTGAATGTGAAATCGGTATAGAATGATACAAATAATATGTAACACTTATCGAATGATCGAGGATTATCCAATTGTATCTCCTTCTTGTTATTGTTTCCAAATACTTCAATCATACTGAATTGGTTGGTCGATGGAACTGGAGTATGCAATTGATCACAAACATCTTCAATAGTCAATTGGAGTTCGAATCCACCATTCAATGTGTAATATTACCATTCATATCCTTCAACACAAACATCAATCGATCAAATCGGTGAATCATCGGTATACATATTTCTTTTTTACAGGACTGATATAATTGATTTCAGAATCATCAATGACCAATGTGGTGAGTGAATTGTTGTTCTGATTAGCGATTTCAAATCAGATGATCATACCAACGATGAATACACTTGAATCACTTGACAATTTCGAGTGATATCAATCACATTCGATCCATAGAACGAAGCAGGGAATACAATCATGTGATTTCCTAACCCAAATATCTCTAGTACATCTGAAGCAATCGTGAAATCAATAGAGTATGGAGATTGGATCCAAATACACTCATAACTTGTATCCATTGTGGAAATTGAAAATGTAGTATTAATCATGGTGTTCAGAATGGCAATAATTTCACTCAGTGTATAATAATCAGGCGAGATCGTTATCCCTTCACCATTGATGTTTGTCACCACATTGGTTGAGTCCACAATATTGAACATGACTTGATTGGGTTTGAATAGAACAGTCATGGAAGTGATAAATGGATTTCTGAACTTGTGAGGATTGATCCAATCGAATGTGCCAATGATAGGTGAATCTTGTATGAGAATAGAATAATGCATGTTCTCTCTTTACCAAAGACACTCATGACTTGCATAGACAACAATAGATGGATTTGTGATGACAATGTACACACATTGGCTTTCGGTCATTACAAATAAGCAAACAAACATGTAAATACAAGAGAAATAACAATAATTCACCTTAGCTAGGTATGTCTACTGCTTTCTTGCATCCAAGTATAACTGATGCAACAAACACAACAATAGAAACGAGCACTAGGTTGATAGTAGAAAGGAATTGGAGTAAGAAAGCACGAAACCTGATTCCTGACCGATGATTGTCGACCAAACAGCCTAGGAACGATAGTCGATGACTCAGAATCGGTTGGTCGATTACAACAATAGACAAAGGATCGCAATTGTGGTCACTGCACATAGCAGCCTATAAAGAAAACTGCCACCAGGTTTCACGCAAATAGTGCCATTCCCTTACTACTATTGTTTCATATTAATGAGGTTTAAAATAGCTACAAGTTGATAAATCATATTATTATTGATCGAAAGAGCTTTTTGTTATTGTGAAAATAGGATCATTTTTGTTATGTGACATGTATCAAATATGGATGAACTTATCAATAGAAATAGGAAGGATGAATCAGTCATTTATCACAAGTATTGTTGTATTTCCTTTGATATATGACTAATCTGTATACTATAGTCTCGAGATACTTTGAATCAATACTTGGAAAATGAATATCTGCAATAGAATAACAACAAATGTGTATTGTTTCATTTTGGTGCATATTGTGTGATATGAATTGTATCAAAGCCCATAATGAATTTACATTCTAAATGTGACAACTAATAATGGTGCTAGTTCGTGTTACAAGTTGAGAGAAGGAATGAGCAGTATTAACAAACAAGAGTCTTCACAATAG